GCGCACCCAGACTCACACAGCGCACCCAGACACACACAGCGCACCCAGACTCACACAGCGTACCCAGACACACACAGCACCCCCCAGACACACACAGCACACTCCCACACATATACAGCACACACATATATATATATAAAATAACCCTCAGTGAGTTAACAGACAAAGAAAATTAGAAACCTAGAATGTGACAGCAGATAAAAACACCCTCACACAGCACCCCTCTTACATACACACACTGCGCCCCTCACACATACAATAAGTCCAAATATATATATATACATACACACACACACACACACACACTACAGCACCCCTCACACTGCACCACTACACACATTACGCTCCAGATACACACTAGATCCCTTACTCTATATGCACTCTTTATCCTCTATACACACACACACACACTGGGTCCTTTACACAGTAGATCTCCTACACACACACACACTACATTCCTTGTCAGCAAACACATACAACATTCTCTAAACACCCTCTCTGCAACCCCTACACACACTACGTCACCTATACACACACACTTCAGCCCGTATGCACACACTTGCTGCATCCCCTATAAAACTATGCCCCCTATACACACTCTCTACAGCCCCTAGCCACACATATTACACCACAAACACAAATTAAATTGACCTATTTACACAATACCACACCACACTCTACACACACGCAATCCCACAAGCAGGCTCCAAACATATGCACCATGCACTTTCCTGGCCCATTTGTCCCCTGGTATCCCACTTGTGGAGACACCAGAGACAATTTAAAAGCAAACACAGCACAAGCATGTTATTACATTTGCTTGCGCTGCGCAGAACAAATTCAGGGCCTTTTCCTAATGCCAGAGCTCTTCAGCAGGGCTCTGGGCATTGAACCAACATGCTCACTTTGAGAGGGGGCGTGTTGTCATTAGTGATGACAAAACACACACTCTCTGGCCCCGCCCCCTTCTTAGGGGGCCGCTCTGATTGAAAAATGCCCGGGCCTAATTTTTTTCCCAGTCCGGCCCTGGGGTGGGGGCACCCTCAGGGCACTATAGTGCCAGGAAAACGAGTATGTTTTCCTGGCACTATAGTGGTCCTTTAAGTTTTTTTTCCCTGAAATTTCCCTCTTAAAATGAGGTGCGTGTTATACGCCGGTGCGTGTTATACGCTGCTAAATACGGTAGTTTAACACCTGCAGAGTAGTGATGTCGCGAACCGTCTGGGAGGGAGGGTCTGCTGGAGATTGGCCGGGATGTGTCAGCTGACCGGAGCTCGCCGCGAACGGTTCGCGACATCACTACTGCAGAGTAATTCATATGCCATAGAAAAGCCCAAGCGCATATTTTTGTATAGTATTTATCTAGAGGTTCATGAGAGTAATGGTGGGGCATGAACACAAGTTAAGTGATAAGTGCACGGTTAACATTTCAATAGCATTTATTGGGGTGTGGAACTAAGGTAATGCAATTTCCAGTGAAGTGACAATCCAGTTTTAACTAGGTGATAAGTAGATTCTAAGTGTCTATAGGAATAGGGCAATCGACTCCTACTGTACTTGTCTAATTGAATTTGTCTTAGATGTACCTTTGGATTGTAAGTTCAGGGCAGGGCCCTCTACCTGTTGTAACGGTCTGTTCTTATTGTATTGTCCTTTTCCCAATTGTACAGCGCTGTGGAATATGTTGGCGATTTATAAATACCAGTAATAAATAAATGTACTGTTTCTCTGACTTTTTACTTCTACCAATTGTACCCTTGTACAGTGCTGTGGAATGTGTTGGTGCTTTATAAATAAAATATAATATGAAGAAATAATAATAATGCAACAAGAGCATTCACTGCACAGAGTTGTTTGTATCGTGAGCTACAGATCTATTCCTTTGTAGCAAGCAAATGGAGTATTCTGAAATCTGACATTTAAACCTCTCAGCCGTGCCCTGCAAATCACCTTGGAGCACTATAGTGGTACAAACATCCATTCCTCTTTCCATTCCATCTGCAGGAAAAACTGGAAAAGTAATCAGGTAAACTAACCATCACAACACTAGGCAACGCCAAGATGGGATTCCAAGGCGCAATCTGGATTTCTGGTATGGGATATTATTTTTATTGTTAACATAATTTCCAGTAGGAGGTCATGTGCCATAATTCTGATGAAAAGACAACTTGCTTTTTATGATGGATATCTGCATGTTTAGATAACTGAGGCAAACTGCACTCAGACATAAGTAGCAGCAGGTAAAAAGAGAGTACAGCAAGCATGTCAAACATGCGGCCCACAATGAGTATGTTTGCGGCCCAGACAGGCATACAAGGAAATTTCCCGGTAGGACGCCTGCACTGGGGCCGCTTTGTTCTGTGGCACTCCCGCGGCCAATCGCTTGCTAATGCGACCACAAAACATTCTTCCAAACTTGCCACCAGATTTGCACATATGGAGTCATATCCGGCAGCAGCGCTACAGTGCGCAGAGTGACTGGCTGCATGCAGAGCAGGCCAGCTACTCCCCCTTCCCTGCTACTTGTAGTGCCAGAGAAGCATGTTGAGTAGAAAAGATTGTGCAGGGCTGGACTGGAAGACTGCTTAAGGTGGGGGAAGAGGGGCTTGGGGAAACCTTTCTGTAGTGTATTTGGTGGGAGGGAGGTGGGTCAATGTATTAAATTGGAGGGGAGGGGGAGCAGTGTGTTAAATTGGGGGAAGAGAGGGAGAGGCCAGTGTATTAAATTGGGGGAGGGAGCAATGTATTAGAGTGGTTGAAGGGAAGGGGCAGTGTATTAGAGTGGTGGGACAGGGGCCAGTTTATGAAATTGGGGGGAGGGAAGGGAGGCAGTGTATTAAATTAGAGTGGTGGAAGTGGATGCAATGTCTAGGTCAAACTTTTCTTTTTTTTTTTTGCGCACACATAAATTTAAACCTTGTTTATTTGGTCCATGTTCGCCTCTGAGTTTGAAATGCTTGAGATACAGCAATCAAGGAACCCATCCTTAATCCTTATCGGACGTACATAAATGAAAACCCCACAATTTCACTGTCAAGAGCTAGTTAAACGGGTAAGGGTTTCACTGCATGGTCTTGTCTGTGCAGCCTTATGGATACAGAAGAAGTGCATTTAGCATAGCTTTAACAGGTTCATAAATAAAGTAGAACTCATGCATTAACATATTAATCAAGTATGGTCTCTGGAACTGTGTTGAGGTATGCCTGTGGATCTTAAAATCTATACATTGGAACAGTTCCCAGCTAGTGTTACTTTTCAGCATCCTTAAGGGTTTGTGAACAAGAAAGATGCCCAAATGGAGGAAGTGAATTTTAAAGATTGCATTTGCACAACTTTTGCAAGGTTATTCACTAAGGTGAGAAATTTCAGGAATTCAAACCGAACTGGAAAAAGCTAGTAATGCTTCCAGTTCGGCTGCGTTGGCTTTGAAAATAAAATTGCTTTTAACTTAACTTTGAATTTCCAACAATTTTCAATCAAGTTAATAATCCTGTATGTGTTTTGTACCTATTTGTGAGTGTAACAGATCCCCTCTGTGCTCGTTTGCGGGATCTGTATTTAATGTGAACTGTTCATTCGCTTGAAACCGCCGTATAACCGGTTGCCATAGACTACAATACAAACTTTAAAAATCCCAAATTAACTACCAAACACCGGACCACCCTGATGCCTAATTGTGCTTCAATTTATCTCCCTGTTCGGCTAATGTATTCCTATTGAAACCCGCAAACGCTTTGTTCAAGTCCCTGGGTGGCCGCCATTTTGGAAGTTTTACACGTGGCGTCGGCCATCTTAAACTCCCGAACAGTGGTGTTTTGCCATTGAGTGTCTGGAACTAAAATCGGACACTCGACTAGGCAAACACCGCTGAGACCTCCAGACTTCCATCAATTTGTGCCGAAACTACCTAACGTCCCGCCGTTCGGTAGAAAGACTAAGTTAAACATGGAGATTCATACGAATGCCAGGATACCCACGGAAGGCAAGCTGTTCGGGACTTTTTATTACACGAACAGAGACCGACCGCAAGGCCAAAACTTATGGAACTGTTTTCGGCTACTGTGCCTGTGCGGTCGGTCAAAACTTTAAACCCCCATAACTCCCGAACCCCTGGCCTGATCTGGGTGATTTTTAAATATGTTGCTCACCCAGATTAGGGCCATCAGGGGATTTATGAGGGTACCTCAGATATTTGGGGTACATCCAAAACTCTGGGAAAAATGTGTTCTTGTTAATTGTGTTAAATGCTTATCTAAGGGGAGGAGATGTGTGGGTTGTACCTTGTGTTTTATTGGTTACTGTATAATTGCTTGTGGGTGTCTCCCTTACATGGGAGCACTGCATAAAAGGAGAGTACCTGCCATTAAAAATCAGTTCTTCTTCACCCTTCAAAACGTAGCTGTGTCTCGTTATTGAAAGGGAACGTGCAGCATAATCACTAGCTCTTCTCAGAGCTCTGCCTCTCTACTGCTCCAGGGATCCAGCTGATGGGACTTCGCCTCCTCACTTCGGCTAAGCACCTGGCCCGGAGAAAGGACGTCCCCAACGGCAAATATCCCTCTCCACTCTGGTTAGCCGTTACAGAGAGCTTTTATTGTTTTTGTTTTTAGTCTGTATATTAATCTGCACTATTTTTCAGGCATATTAGTTGATGCTAATTTAATTTATGGAATATACATAATTCCTTTTTTTAAAGAGCATTTGAACACGTTATTCGTCATTATTTATTGTGGTGTATATACAAATTTATCAGCTTTCTTCAGTGCTTATATTTTTTTATTCTAAATATTGGAAAAGAACATTTAGGGAAAGGGCAACAATATATGTACTGATATATTTTGGGCACATAGTGATCTATTTGATAAAGTGACTGCATTTTTTCCAGATAAAGTGCGTGTCACACATGGAATACGTCTGAATTCTGTGAATACAAAGTCCACCCAAGAGTGTCTCTTTAAATATTTGTAGAAGAGTTTTCACAAGCAATACGAAATTAGAACGAATCCTAAAAAGGAAAATATTAACTGTGATATCTTATGAAAACTTCATTGTGCAAAAGCTGTAATTTGTTTTTCTGACTCAGAAATGTGTTTTTATTCCCATATACAGGTAATAGTTTCAGAAGAAGCCCAAGAGTGTCTTCGACATTGAAAATAAATATACAGAAAGACTACTTACTTTGCATTATGAATGTTGATGGTGTTTATTGCTATACCCAGCAGGCCTATGATTTTTTTTTTTATCCTCATAAAGCCAGGCTTTGCATAGTAATATGTCTAACAAGGACATTGATCTCAAGAGGTTTGCTAACTTATGTTGCACAGCAGCTCCAAACAGGGGTTTATTCAATAAAAAGTGAGTTGGTATGTTTTGATGTAAGATAATAAAATTTAAGACAAATTAGCAGAGTTAAGCCCTCCCCAACCCCCATTCCGCCAACCGTCTAAGCATTATTTTATTGCATTTTGCAATACATTTTTAAGAAACATAGCATTAGAAATACAAGTCTGTATTCAAATTTCTATAGTTCCCTTGTCCCTACATGTATTCAGTGTTTACACCCCCATGTACAATAAAATGTTAAAATAATATGTTTTATTTACCTTTTTCCAGCGCCGAGACCCCATTGGTACTGCTCATCTCTCATGATGTCACGTAGGAGACATGGCTTCCTCGGCTGATGTCCAGTTCAATCCCTCTGTACATTGCAGGGCTAAAACAACAGGGACACTGAACCGACACTTCGTCATTGAGATTAAGTGGTCTGAGTACTTATGGTGTCCCTTTAAGTATTTTTGCTTGAATAGCTTTATTGGTTCATTTGGGTAAATTCCATCATTCCTAGATTGAAAAAAAAAAATACACCATGCTCACTTCTACCAAGTAGAATAAGAAACCCAGCAGTAAAGTTGAAAGGAAATGTTAACTCTGCTTCATCAATATTCTAGAGAGATTCTTCTGAGTTACTGTGCTTCTGGGGTCTTCTTGTTCAGTATTAAAGGGATTTTAGTGTTCAGTATACAAATCTGTATTCCTAACACTTTAGTGCCTTCTTGACTCCTATCCCTCGCAGCCTCCTTGTTTACTTAACAGATTCCAGTGCGCGATGTCCCTCACCATTGAGTCGATCCTCCGCTTCCCTTGGTGAATTGCCTTAATGCTTTCGTATGGGGATTTCACTGACACTGGATGTCCTCATGCAGAGCATGATGACATCCAGCGTCATTTAGGCAACCTGGAGTTTGTTGGGATCCACAAAGTGCCTCTGGTGGCTGTCTAATAGACAGCCACTAGTAGCAGTCATAGTCCTGCAAGGTAATTATTACAGTTTTTCAAAATCTGTAATGTTATAAGGGGGACAGGGACACCAATTCAGTAAACTGAAGTGGTCTTGGTAACTATCGTGTCCCCTTAAAGCTTTAAAACCGGTTTAAGGCAGACTGTAAGGACAGTGTCAGGGGATCCAGACACTATAACAGATTACGCAGTTACAGTGCTTACTGTGTCCCTCGTAGCCACAGGCAGCCTCTCAACTGTGTAGCTAGAATAAATATAAATGGAGTACTTTTTTTATTTTCCATTCTGATTTGTTTGCATATTTTCAATACATGTAACATGCCCTGCATTCACAAATGGTGTGTAGGCCAGATAACTATTTGTTGAAATATCTAAAAGTAGTGAATAAGGAGGGCTGCAAGGAGCATTATAATAAGACTGGATTGGAAAAGACAACATACGTTTTTCTATGACCAACAAATTGGAGTTATTTTAAAAAATTAAATTGATTTGTAAAATTTAGGTAAAATCAAGTGGATTAAAAAAGTTCTTAAATTCAGATGTAGTCAAAACATGGTTAATTTAAATGCTTGGGCCAAATAACAATTCATGTGATAACCTTCACAATCCCTTTGACTTGCTAGAGTGCGATGAACTTAGAAAAGCATCTTAGGTAGTGCAACGGTGTTTGAACTTCAGCAGCGGAATGGCTGATTGTTTTTCATGGTAAATGTTTTCTATAACAGCTGGAGTGCCAAATGTTAGCAATCACTCATTTACAAGGCCACCAAATTGGCTGCTGCACAAACATGCAAATAAAAGAGGTGCTTCTTTGTAGATATTAACAGATTCCATGAAACAATAAAAGGGAGTGCTCAGTTCAAACATGAGCAACATGTGGAGACCACATAGAGAGACAGGAATGGGGATTGACAGCAGACCACAAATTGCTTGGTTATTCAGCACTTAGATGCTCAGATCACCTATGTTTGTCATTTTACTACTAGCCTACTACCGATTTAATCCTAGTATTGTAAATATCTATTACCATCAAAAATAATCTCCAGGACTCCTTTTATGTGAAAATAAGTATTTGTCACTTTACTTTTTTTTTTTTTTTTTAATAGTTATTGCAGGGTGTTCCCTTTATAAACATGTTTACATGTCTAGGAAGGTGGATAATTTTTTAATAGTAACAGTAAAAAGTTGGCAATTTTTGCAGTTTGCTATGTTTTGCTGCCAGTGTCTTGTTGTTGTGCCTGGAAAAATGACTCATACGCTTACAGAAATGATGATTTTCATATTGTTATTCTAGATTTCCGATACTCCTCATTGCATAACCCTGTCACTTCGCCGTACACCTTGAATATTGTTTAGTCAAAAAGCAAGATTTACTGCTACCAAACATAAAATAAGGTGGAATTAGAACCTACTGAACTATTGTAACTACTTGAATTCCATTATAGCCTTTCGAAGAATGAAAGAAGTGTATAGTGCAACCTGGCCTTGCAATGATAGACTTTGTAAAAAGCTACAACCTGCACAAAAGGCACGGTAACACACCCATGTGTACAGCTTACTCGAAGAGTACAGTCTGGTACTGATGTCCAGCCATCATTCGGCCAAGAAGAGCCACAGAGAAGCTTCATCGGTTGCCGACATGCTTACCTCTCAAAGGCCTTCAGCACATAGTGCGCCAGCAGACTCCTGCCCCAGCAGGCCAGACTTACTAGGTTCTGCTGGAACGACTGGCTCCTCCTGCAAATCCTCTGAGGATTCCTTCAACACCATACTCCATTCACTGGCAGAAGTGAAGGGGTTCCTGGCGGCTGAAATAGCCCGCACGGCCGCGTAAGTTAAGGCTGAAATATGCACCATTGGGGCCCGCACCACAGCGATTGAGCAACACATGGAGAATGTGGTCTCTGACCATAATGGAGCCGCAACCCTCACTAACAAACTCCTGCACAGAATAACAGATCAAGGCGCAACAGCCTGCGTATTTGAAGCCTGCCAGAATCAGTAGGGGAGGCGGACAGAGAAGCAGCCCTAGTAACCTGCTTTTGACAAAGTCTACTAGATATCCCCAAACACCTGTGGATAGTTAAAACAAAGAGAACATTACCTGCACTCTGGCCTAAATCCCTATGTACATGTAAACAAAATGGAAGCTCTTTAGTTTTATTCCAATGGCAATTTGAATATAAGCTCACCTGCCCCATCAAAGCAAGCCGCAAAAAGTGAGTCCTACTGTAGCAATTAGATTTGCTGATATCACCCAAGAATCTCCAATGAGACAGGAAGGGGTATTTTAAAGACCCTTTCACATTTAACCTTTTATAGGGCTTCTACACATACAATAAACTTTGCTGGTATCAGACAAAGTGTAAACATCAATGATACATACTTTTTGTTTGTATATGATGTTTGTATCACACAACTATGTTACATTGCTGGCAGCCACCCCATGTTTGTCTTATTAAGTGAGGCATGGGGGGGCAGCCTACAGATCAGGTAAGTGAGGCATGGAGAGCAGCCTACAGATCAGGTAAGTGAGGCATGGGGACAGCCTACAGATCAGGTAAGTGAGGCATAGGGGGGCAGCCTACAGATCAGGTAAGTGTGGCATGGGGGGGCAGCCTACAACTCAGGTAAGTGAGGCATGGGGGCAGCTTACAGGAAGGGTCAGAAAGAAGCAGGAAGGTAAGTAGAAGAAGGAGCAGAAAGGAGAAGGAACAGAAATGAGCAGAAAGGGACATTAGAGGAACACTATAGGGTCAGGAACACAAACATGTTTTTCTGACCCTATAGTGCAAAACCCACCATTTAGGTGGCTTGCCCGCCCCCATAGCCCCCTTAAAAGTTAATAAAACTCACCTTATTTCCAGTGCCGCATGGGTCTACCAGCGCTGGCTCCACCCTGCCCTGCATTTTAATCAATGCATCTCTATGAGGAAAATTCAGCGTCCCTATGCAGAGTGTGGAGACGCTGAATGTCACTACTGCCTACTGTGAAGCACTGAACCAGGAGGCACCTCCAGTGGCCATCTGAGGAGTGGCCACTTGGAGGTTTCCCTAGGGGTAATGTAAACACTGCCTTTTCTCTGAAAAGTCAATGTTTGCATGAAAATACCTGATGGCAATGATTATACTCATCAGAACAACTAAATTAATCTGTAAGTTGTTCTGGTGACTTTAAGCAGTAGAAAAGGTCTGCAAGGAGCACAAAGGAACAGAAAGTGTCAGTAAGGAGCTGGAAAGGGCAGCAAGGAACATAAAGTGTCAGCAAGGAGCTAGAAGGGGCAGAAGAAGCAAAAAGGTAAAGTAGGAGAAGGAGCAGAAAGTAACAGAAATGAGCAGGAATGGTCTGCAAGGAGCAGAAAGGGGCAGCAAGGAGCACAAAGGTAAAGGAGCAGAAATAATCAGTAGGAGCACAATGGTAAAGTAGAAGAAGGGGCAGCAAGGAGCAGGAAGGGACAGAAGGAGCACAAAGGTAAAGGAGCAGAAAGAATCTGAAGGAGCACAAAGGTAAAGTAGGAGAAGGAACAGAAATTAGCTAGAAGGACATCGAGTATCAGAAAGGGTCAGCAATGAGCTGGAAGAGGCAGAAGGAGCACAGAGGTAAAGTAGGAGAAGGAGAAGAAGGGAACAGAAATAAGCAGGAAGGGTCAGCAAGGAACAGAAGAAGCACAAAGGTAAAAGAGCAGAAATAATCATAAGGAGCACAAAGGTAATGTAGGAGAAGGAACAGGAAGGGTCAGAAAGCACAAAGGTAAAGGAGCAGAAAGAATCAGACGTTGCACAAAGGTAAAGTAGGAGAAGGGGCAGCAAGAAACAGGAAGGGACAGAAGAAGCAGAAAGAATGAGAAGTTGCACAAAGGTAAAGTAGGAGAAGGAGCAGAAAGGGACAGAAGGAGCACAAAGGTAAAGGAGCGGAAGGAATCAGAAGTTGCACAAAGGTAAAGTAGAAGAAGGGGCAGCAAGGAGCAGCAAGAAGCAGAAAGGGACAAAAGAAGCACAAAGGTAAAGTAAGAGAAGGAGCAGAAATGAGCAGGAAGGGTCTGCAAGTTGCAGGAAGGGTCATAAGGAGCAGAAGGGAGCAAAAGTAGCAGAAAGGGATCAGAAAGAGAAAGGAGTAGAAGGGTGCAAAAGAAGCTGAAAGGTAAAGGAGCAGAAAGAGCCAAGGAGAAGAGAAGACAGTGTCAGAATAAAAGAAGACTGTGCCAAATGAAGGAGAAAAAAAGAAGATTGGAGCAGGAAGGACAAGTGAAGTGATCCCTCCACTTAATTATGGACACCACATCACAAGGCTTTGGTCCCTATGCCTGGCAGGAAAACTTTGGACCTTCTCATCTCCCGAGGTAAAAAAAATATCAGTGTTAATGTGTTCACTTTTATTTTCTGAATGTCAGGAAGCACAGAGTGGTCAGCTGGCATTCTAAGTCAATCACTAGATCCCCATTCATAAAAAAAGTAAAAAAAAAATGTATGAACCGGGAACTAGCTATTGGCTTAAAGCATCGGCTGACCACGCTAGCCAATCAGTGGCACCCATGCCTCACGTCAATCTGCACGAAGCCGGATACCACTGGGCAACCTGGAGGAAGCCTTTGGGTTTAAACCATGTGAGAGTGGTTTAACCCTAAAGGAAAGAGTGCCCAGGGGCCTCCTGGCATCATATTATTTTCATTTAGATGAAGTTGTTATGGTAACCAGAATGTTCCTTTAATTTTATTAAAAGGAACACTGTAGTGTCAGGAATACAAACATGTATTGTGAAAACGCTATTTACATATCCTATAGGTAGGTAGGTTAACAGGCTAAACCAAACTACACACATGCAAGAAACACAAATTGCTATTTACAGTCTTAGCATGACATCCAGCGTGGCTATATGGAGGCTTCTGGTTTGAGGGTGACCACTGGACAATGCAATTAGCAGTGCACTGCTGAACTAGAGCTAAACTGGTGCGGTCTTGTGGTTAAACTAGAGGGTCATGGCCTTATTGTACAAGACTACATGTTTATGGCATGGTAACATATACGTTACAGTCCAGATTAGTAGAGGATCATCTCGCGGGTGTATTTGGGACGTCTGTTGGTCGTCATCAGGAGAGTAGTCAGTCCTTGGCACAATGTGTATTCACCCGATTCCCTGGTTGGACGTCGCTATGCGGTCATGTGCAAGTCCCATGTATTTTTTTATTGACTCTGCTATTTACTGACTACTCTGCTTTCTGGTTCCCTTGACTCAGCTCTGGTATTTGTTTTGGTGATTCTCTAGTTCCCTTTGTCTTAGGCTTGCTTGACTATTCTGTGCTTATCTCTTATTAGCCCGGCCATTCTAAGGACCGGTTTAGGTATTTTTATTTTACCTTTAGGAGGGTTATTATTCTGCGTATTGGGTTACCTATTTGTAACACATGTTTTGATGTTAAAAAAGAGGGGTAAAAATAAAGCTAAAAGAACTTCACTGGAATCCTTTAAGACAATGATCATTATATCTGGATATTCTACATAAGTTTGTGTAGAGATTTAGCATTATATACCAAAAAAATTACAAATAAAACTTTTTCGCCGTTATGTAGTTTGTTTTTTTCCTCCAGTGGATGGTCTGTTGGGGTAGCAGCAATTATGTCTAGGAACCTGGGCATTTTTGGAACTTTAGTGACAAACTAATGGTACATCAATATCAACTTTCATTCTTTTGATCCAGTGGATAGACTGAAGGGACATGAGTATTCTATCACATTCTCACCCACAACCACACACAGAAGGACACATGTTCAACATTTGTGAAAAGTGTGTTAGTACTGACTTTGGTAAGAAATGTGGAGGGGGGTTGGGGTTGAAATACATTTTTTCATGTTAAACGTTAGCGTTGTAATGTGAATATGTTTAGTTAAACCCTATAAGTTGAAGTCTAGAAGTCAACTGCTTGTTTAAGACAACCTGCCTTTTCTGGTAGCATTAGGTCATAAATCTCGTAAGGTAGTAGTTGTGCTGTGCACAGCAAAGCACCTTGCTATGCAGAGGAATAAGGAACTTTTAAGACTGGTCTATGTGTATTCTCTGCATAACTGGAAGATCTGTACACTGTTTTGCGACATTAAGCCATAATTTTGCCCCATTGCACATTGCTCAACAACTCAATAAGCATTATATAAATGTAACTTTATCTACAATAAAATAACTTTTCTTATTTAACGAAGAATGGATTTTTTCCATTACGTGGCAACTGGCTTGAAAGCAAACATTTGGAACAAGAGATCTGTGAAGTTCATGCCGTACAATTACAAACAGATTTGTTGTAGTTTCCTAATTCACTTTAGTGCCTGTTAAGGTGTACTATATCTGGACATATAAAATGTTCCCAAAAGACTCTTAAACTGCAGTAATTTCCTTGATGTATTACTTAATTCGAGGTAATGATAGTAAATTTGGCAACACATGGCAGCAGGAAATGTCTTTGTTTGCTGCGAGATGTTTTTGAACTCAAGCATTATTATATTATATAATACCCAGTAGGACATTTCTACGTGCCAGGCAAGGTTAAAATGGGAAGGGAGGAAAAAAAAAAAAAAAGTTGACATGCTTTTGTTAAAATGTGGACCACATGTTTAGCCACCTGATGTTTGGCCTCATTAAAAGATACTATCTTGAAGAAGAGGAAAATACATTTAAAAGGGACACTATAGTCACCAGAACAACTACAGCGTATTGAATTTGTTCTAGTGAGTAGAATCATTACCCTCAGGCTTTTTGCTGTAAAAACTGTATTTTCAGAGAAAATGCAGTGTTTACATTACAGCCTAGAGATAACTTCACTGACCACTCCTCAGATGGCTGTTAGAGATCCTTCCTGGGTCATGGCTGCCTAAAATGCTTCCAAACATTCAGTGTCCCCTCCCTCTGCATGCAGACACTGAACTTTCCTCATTGAGATGCATTGATTTAATTCATCTCTATGAGGAGATGCTGATTGGCCAGGGCTGTGTTTGAATCATGCTGGCTCTGCCCCTGATTTGCCTCTTTGTCAGTCTCAGCCAAGCCTATGGGGAAGCATTGTGATTGGATCAGGCTATCACTTCTGATGATTTCAGCAGGTAGGTCAAAAGGAAACAGTGACAAAGCAAGCAGCTGCAGTCTTGAATACAAGTAAGATTTTACTATATTGAGGGAGGCATGAAGGGGCAGGGTGGCTTGATGGTGGTTTTAACCCTATAGGGTCAGGAATACATGTTTGTGTTCCTGACCATATAGTGCTCCTTTAAATAATGTAAACTATAAAGTTACTGTGATGGAATATGCCATGGACTTTTGGAGAGGCTTGAAGGCCAGCTTTCTGCCCACGGACTATGGGACTAAATCTGTGCTTCCCAGCTGGATTTTAGGAACTCGTTTTACACCTCAAGTGCCTGAATGGGAAATACTCTGGAACGATTACTCGGATCGGTACTACGCCGCAGTCTGGTAAATCTTTAAGTGGGTGTTGCTCAGTCCCCCGAACGCCAAAAAGAGAGTGATTTGGAAACAAAGTCGGGCAGGCAAGGAGGCATTGAAGGATACCTGGGACTTAAGTGCGATTTCTTTCCAAAGGATCCGGGAAAAAGCCGCCACATGCCTGGAACTTCTCACCAGAGAATACCCACGACCAAGTAAATCTTTAACATGCTGTAACTCGTGTTGTGTGTGAGGGTAAGTTTTCCTAAAAGGGTTAAATGTGAAAGGGTTTATAAAATACCCCTTCCTGTCTCATTAGAGATGTTTACACTTTGTCTGATACCAGCAAAGTTTATTGTATGTGTAGAAGCCCTATAAAGGGTTAAATGTGAAAGGGTTTATAAAATACCCCTTCCTGTCTTACTGGAGATCCTTGGCTGATATCAGCATATCTAATAGCTAGTGTAGGACTCACCTATTGAGGCTTGCCTTGACGTGGCAGGTGAGCTTATATATTCAAATGGCCATTGGAATAAAACTAAAGAGCCTTCATTTTGTTTAAATGTACATGGGGATTTAGGCCAGAGCGCAGGTAACGTTCCCTTTGTTTTTCCTAGCCAGACTTGAAGACCTCTGGGGATTGCCTGGACTCGTTTTACACCTCAAGCGCCTGACAGGGAGAAACCCTAAAACACTCTGGAATGGTTCCTCAGATCAGAACTGTGCTGAGGTCCAGTGGACAAGACCCTTAGAGAAGTCAGTCAAGCTTTGTCGACTGGGTCTGAAGTGCTCAAGAGTACCGAATAGCAGCTAGGAAGCTGACCTGGCTGAGGTACTCAGTCGGAGTACAGGAGCTCAGTCACAGTTACAAAGAGTAGCAGAAGAAATTTAGCAATGAGGGTGACAATGTACAAATCACAAAAAAATAAAAAAATAAAAAAAAGTGCCCTCAATAGCTATGACTATCAAAGTAAAAACCAATGAGCAGCTTCAAAGTAAAAACTATAGATAGAAAGGAACGGTGAAATACATCTGGGAATATTTAATGCGTAACCCAAGGATGAAGGCCTTTAGGGTGAATATATTTACAGATATCTATAAATATGTACACAAACAGTGAATGCCCATGTAGAATGCAATATAGTTTCCCTGCAATATTGGTTACTTATTTTAGCATTAGTGCTCATCTCTATTCACCCCTACTATGGAGAGAAAAAAAAAACACAGCTACTAAACCCAAGCAATGAATGAATGAAATAACAAGAACGCTATGGAATGCAAGATCAATATATTTTTACAACTAGTTAGTCCATGTCTAAATATGGAAGAGAAATAATAAAGGTCCCACTGGTAGTCAATGCAAGTGACACATTTAGTTATGTTAAAGAAATGAGAAGATTATGTTTAAATAAAAAAAAAAGTTTATTTAGAACAGTTTTGCCCCATGTGCAGGTTACATTTCATATGAAACACCGTGTAGCTTCAACAAACCGAGGTTTTCTGATTTCTCATAACTTTGCAACAGGTCACAAGTCTTCTCTGATAAAAAAAATAGAGCTGTTGTATAAAAGAAAAGAGTATAATAACTTTTTTAAAATTAATTTATAAAAGTAAGTTTGTGAGATATATATCTATACACACACACACACACACACACACACTTCATGGTGTTTGTAGTCTGCAGGTGCAGCCTTCTGCTAGGAGTTAGTGATTTTGAGCAGTGAGAGACTGCAGGGACCTGATCTATGCACCAAATCCACTTAATTAAGATAAGATTGTTTGGATACCTATAATATCCCCTAATATACATGGCCAAGAGAAATAAAGCTAAAAACCTCTGTATCCTCAAAAATTACATGTTCAAAATTTTAACATGCGTGGCTTTCCATTTCATGTCTAACTTTAGCCTCCAAGTGGCAAGAGGATGTGTAACATTTTGCACTTCAATATGTCAAAACCCCACAGGCATCAAATATGTAATGCCTTTTCTTGTGTCTACAGTGAGAGATCGTATTTTGTAAGTAACTTACCCCTTTAAGCCTTCATAACGAACAACATCAAGAAGAGCTGTTCTGGATGAAATAGTCAGACATTTCCTTCAGGGCTCTGTACCGGTGAGAAATTGTATTCTTTACTTCCTTTGGGAGCTCTGCATACCTATAATGAAATACATAGTAATACAGCAATCAGCAGTCTGAAAACACAGTGCTTGAGAACCTACCATTTCTAGTCAGACAAAAGGTGGGGACTTGCACAATATGCTCAATACAACGAGTGGTAGCCATACAAATATCTATACAATCAAAGGAGGAAGTACATACAGTAATTGTGGTTGAAGTTACAGGCAAGGGGGCATGTTTAGAGCTGCAGAACTTTATAAACAACACCTCCATGCACCATGACAACCTATGCTTATTGCAGAAGAGAGGTTGAGAATGCAAACACTAGTAAAGGGGCAGACAACCTTCAGGGATAGAGATGCTGTGAACTACATCTTCCATAATGCTCTTAAGTATCAGGGGACATGTAGAATATAACATTTGGAGTACCGAATGTTGCCTACCCCTGCACTCGTATATAGTGACTGATATAGTGTAAGGGAGGAAAAAACAAAAAACCCTAAATTAACGTAATGTTGATTAGATCACCTGGACACAAACATTTTCATGTATTGTAAAATGATTTCTTGCTTAAATCATTGCAATACTAAAAAGATTTAAAGAGTTTCGGTAGTGAATGTCTACACAGATTACAGTAAAATAGTGACACCCAGTGGTTATTACAGATAGCCAAATATTTTTAAATATACTTCAATGTGCACACATGCCTACTTACGTCTTTTCAAAACCATCTGGCTGGAAACATGGATCCCATCCAAAGTCCCTAGGACCACGTGGATCCACTATTTGACCCTGAAAATAAAATTAAACATGTTTAACTTCTCTAGAAGCATCAGATTCCAAGTGTGTCTTGACATTTGATACCAAAGATTAATTTTGCTCAATACAAATAATGTCTATCAGTAAGTTAATTGATTATGTTACTCTTATAAATCAAGTAAACTTCAAGGGAGGAACAAAATGTCAGGAACTCTATCAGGACCGATTCATATCATTTCAAATTAAGTAGGCAAATTTAGTGCATCAGTTGAGACTGGCTTAATTTGTTAGGCTCATAATATACGGTAATAAAAATATTTATAGTATAGTAATGGCACACAACTTGGTTCACTGAACAGTGAACCAGGTTGTCTGTAAACGAATGACAGGCACAGTATTTCTGCATCCTACATGATGACTGGAACAGCTCTTTGAGATAAGCTAATTATAGACAGAGATTTAAGAGGTTAAGGTCTGTCCTCAGAGACCAGAATGAGATGCTCCTGACTGGAGGCAAACACACTAATCAGTGAACCAAGGGGCAGTTTAAATGGTGACCAACTCATCTACAAAATGGGTTAAAATAATGTACATTGTGGAAAATTTTATCTAACCCTAAGGATGGTATTTAGGTTTATAATTGCCTTTTGGGGTTAGTATTTTAGCTTTCTGTCAATAACAATCATGTATGAATTGCATAATTTTAGCCAAAACAGCAAGTGCCAGACACATAGCAGACAAGGCATGACAGTACGATAGTCCTGTAAAGGGAATGATGCACTGCTTTATTTACAGGGTGGTAGATTGATGGACAACTCCAACAGCACAGGTGGTAGAGACATTTAACCAATTCAAACTTCAACAATTTAGAAACCACTATAAAGCATACAAAATGGAGCACTGAATATGTAGTTTACAGCTGTAAATTTAACTTGACACACTGGTCAGCTGGCCAAAACAAAACCAAACAAACAATAAAATGTATTAACATGGTAAAAACATTTCTAAATTACAGATCAACATTTCTTGTACACACCAGAGTTTTCCCTCTAAACAACAGAACAGGGTCTTCTGGACGTCCAGTGCTGAAAGCAAACGTGCAGAGGGCATAGGCAGATTTGTCTTCAAACCCCGCTAGTAGACGGTGCAGTCCTACGCACAAACACATGTTAGGGTATCCTCAAAAATATTATTCTGCACTTTAATATTAAGAGTTCTTCAAACCTGTGTGAAATCTGGGTTATTACAGAATGTTACCCGACTACCACAGTTATTCACTAAAGTTTGAATTATTATGATTTTAAAGTGAATTTGTATTTTGTTTTTTCCCCCCAACTTGGCAATTTTGTCCTGGAATTTGATACCCACTTTAAAAAAAAAATATCACTTTGAATTTACAGCGATTCACTTTTTAGTGGATAACCCTGTATGATATTCACAAGTTATCTGTATGGTCCAATACACACCAAGCATCTGTAGTTTTACTTAGGCTTGCTAAATTAAAGGGACACTATAGTCCCCCAGACCACTTCAGCTCAATGAAGTGGTCTGGGTGCCAGGTCCCTCAGGTTTTAACCCTGCAGATGCAAACACAGCAGTTTCAGAGAAACTGCTATGTTTACATTGCAGGGTTAAGCCAGCCTCTAGTGGCTGTCTTCCGGACAGCCACTAGAGGCGCATCTGCGACGCTGGAGGCATATTATGCCTCCATCGCGCAGAGCGCCCATAGGAAAGCATTAAGAAATGCTTTCCTATGGACACTTTGAATGCGCGCGCGGCACTTGCTGTGCATGCGCATTCGGCTCCACTGACGTCGGTAGGGGAGGAGAGGTGACCAGTGCCGAGGGAGCCTGGCGCTGGATTAAGGTAAGTAACTGAAGGGGTTTTAACCCCTTCAGCGCCACGGGAGGGGGACCCTGAGGGTGGGGGCACCCTCAGGGCACTATAGTGTCAGGAAAACCACTTTGTTTTCCTGACACTATAGTGAACTTTTAAACTAACAATAGATACAGCATCGGCATACTAGCACTTTGCAAACAAACACTTGGCTAATCTTTGTTCAGATATTAAAATTTTTAAAAACTGGTTCACTGTCTTACCTTCTGGTTTTAATTTTTCAAGAAACCATTTTCTGCAACAGAAAAAAAAGGAAGCAACAGTTTGAGGGAAGTACAACCTTTATAGTATAGTGGAGGCAACATAATCTAATCTTGTATGGTTTACCTTGAAAGGAGGGCAAGATCAAAAGCCATTAAAAAACAAAAATGAATCAAAATAAAATAATCCTGTTCTTTAATACCACACCCTACTTGAGCTTACCGTCCTAACCATTCATTCCTTCCTTCCTTGCAGCATCCCTTGTGCTACAGGACAGTATAAGCCCCTTACCACTTATATTATAGTATCACTAGAGGCACCATAAACACTAGCTAATTAATTCTCCAACAAGTTAAAGCAACACTTCAAACACCATAACTGCTACAGGGCCAGGAGAGTCCCTGTGCCTCCCCAATGTAAGAAGTCAAACCATTTGAAACATATCTGTGGTCCACCAGACACAGTATAACAGGGCAAAGCTCATTGACTGAGAGTGATCAGCTCTCATCCAATGGCAGGGCTTTACCCTGGTATTCACATAGAACACAATCAATAACATCAAGCACGGAATGGTGTCTCAAAAATAAAGAAAATAGACAGGAATGACTTTATTTTACAGTTTTTTTAATCTTTGAGCAGGATTACACACTCTTCAGAAAGAACCACTGTTTATGATACAGAGGGTTATTGATTAAGATTTTAATTCAGTAATAGACAGTAATGCCACGGGGCTAAAGTAGAAGCCACTGGGACTGAAAGGAATTAGTTAAGAAATAATATCAGACGTTGGAGATTTTTAAATAGTAGAATTATAATTTCTATAGTAAATCTATCTTAAATAAATACTAGCTACAAATTGACCCCATATTTTAATGCAGTCTATACACTAAAGATATAAACATACACATTGCAGTAATGCAAAGTCCTTATGGTGCTTTTATGTTATTTACCCTTTAGGAGGCTTTACAACATACACATTTTTAATCTGTACAAAATTGCAGTTCTTAATCATGGTTATTAGCTTTAAAAACAAACACACATCTTGCCAAAATGTACCTGTTGCCTTTGTAAAAGGAGTCTTCAGTTCAGTGGGGAAAACAATAATGCGACTTAATCCAAGTAGTAATCTGGGTCCTAGATGAGCATGCTGTGTGTGATCTCAAACCAGTAGAATCCAATTTTAGGTCACAACATATGAGCTACTGTTGTATTGTATACAAAACATAATTTCTTGATACTTACATATAAGGACCAGGCAGACCACCCAATGCATTGAAGCATAAACATGTGTCTTCAACTATAACAGGACCTTGAATCTGGGGATGGGGACACACACAAAAAGTATTGTCATAAAGGGAAATATTAGAAACCAACCACCAAATCCCCAGGTATAGGCAGAATGCAAATTTCTTCTGAAAATGTATGTAATCCTAAACATAGCTCAAAATGTGACTTTATTTAGGCATAAGGAGACATACACAGTTAATCATTATAGAGTGATTTGATAGGCATTTAATGCAAGTTCCAAATTTTGGGCTAAGAAAGCCAAACTAAAAACCATAGCTACCTTAGATGAGAATTTTCCCAAATGTGAAACTTTGAATTACCAAGAACTCACAACTTTAGTGTCTAACACTTTCTATGTACAATGTACAAAAACACTTTCTATCTGCTTATGTTACAACACTAATTAAAGCAACACTGTCATGCCGAACTTACCTTTCCCTAATTGCTTTCTCTTCTCTCCCTCTCTCATGGTCTGTTCTTCTTTTCTTCCTATCTGCTCTAGTTTTCTTTAAAACATAAGACAAAGTAGGGACTACTTTGTCTTATGTATATTTCCTACGTCTGACCAGCTCTGACCTACTCCCTGTGGGTCAGAGAAAATTTCCCACTCACCATTTTCTCCGTGATCCTGCGATGCCTGCTTTCAGTATTCCCGAACGTCCTATCACATATACAGGACGCAGGCGAAACTACCAAATTTCGTCCTAACAGAATGAGAACACTTTGTCCATTCATGTTGGGACGCAATTCGGGACTTTTATTTGGATCGGAATTTAATTTGAATTAATGAAATGCCGATCTATTCGTGCCGCAAGTATATAGCTCCCTAATTCCCATGGTATTAGGGAGCTATCTACTAAAAGGCTGAAAGACCTAAATTGGTCTTTCAGTCATATTTACTAATACTAAGTGAAGATGACTAAGTATTAGTGAATAAGGGAGTTTTAAATCTCCCGAATGCCCCTACTTGCTATACCGCGAGTAGGGGCATGTATACTAAACAGTGAGCAGCCTGTGGCTCCCTACCCCTCAAATCAATTAAATGATCCGCCCCCACCTGTGCCCATTGTGGGGCATGTAGAAAAATAATTACGTGGAAGGACATAGTGTCAACCCCCACCCATTCCGGCTATTCAACAGAACGGGTCCCCCCCGCCCATGAGCGACGTGTGAGAGCCGTAATAACAAAAGGGGAAGAGGGCAAACTATACATATTGACTCCTTTCCCACTTCCCTCCCAGCCCCCACCCATGAGCGGCAGATGGGGGCCAAAAGTAACAAGAGTGGGGACCTATTGTAAAAGTAAACAAGAATAGGGTGGGACCCTATTGGCAGGCGCCCCCCCTGGCCTCCACCCATGAGCGTAGGGTGGGGCCCTAAGTAACAAAAGGGGGGGGGGCATATTGTCTCCACCCCTCCCGGCCCCCACCCATGAGCTGCGGGTGGGGGCCCTAAGTAACAAAGGGAGGGGGTGCACCGACACTATGTTCTCCCCTGTTAATTGTTTTTCAAAATGCCCCACCATGGGGGGCCTATACTAGGTCCCCCATTATTTGAGTCAGGGGGTGGGAAGCTTATTTTTTAGAACAGTGAGCAGCCACAGGCTGTTTGAGTAGGGGCATTCAAGAGATTTTATTCTCCCTTATACTTTTATGGGGGTCATATTGACCCCCATAGATTGAGGGAGGACATGGGGGGAGTTAGGAAGTGGCGGGGAGCACTGCTCCCTGCCGCTTCTCTTTTTACATATTACAAGGAGGGAGCTGCAAGCCGGTAGCTCCCTCCTTGTAATAAACTAAACGAATGAAGAGGTATTCATTCATTCGAAATGTCTATTCATTCGTATTTCTGAAGAATTAATGAATTGACGAAATTCCCGTCCGAATGCCCCAGTGTTTAACTGGGCACGAGCATCAATTTCATAGCGCTAGTGTGGACAGATGAAGTGTCCCACAGGGACTTTACCTGCCCACAACAAAGATGGCTATGTCCGGGCATAAAATAAAGTTATTAAAAAAGAAATTGAGGAGCCTAGGGACATTTAGGGATGACATGGGGCACTATAAAATGTATTGGAGTCAGAAGAGGGGTTTAAAAAAGAAACCAAAAAAACAGATGCGGCCATGACAGTGCCACTTTAATGACTGAGCAGTTGCCAAGCACAAAATGCATAAATAGTAATTGCTAAATTTAAAGGTACAGTGCACTTTTTTATGGTTTATGTAATAACACTTTGCTCTGCCATGCAATCTTGCAGCAATCTCAATCTTGGAAGTCGTGCCATCCTTCGGCATGCATCCTTCAAGATACTTTACCAACCTGTCTTGCAGCTTCTTTGCACTTTTGAATTGAAATCTCATCGGGTTCACCTTGGTACTCTGGTACTGCAGGTATAGAAATAAAAAAAATAAGTAAACACACATTAACAACATTGAGCAAGTTTTGTTTCATGGAGGAATGAAACTATAAATAAAACTTACAGTCAATTTTCTTGGCCACTAGCTTACACGGAAATCTGTCTCCAAGGATCTGAATAACCTTAAAAATTAAATTAAAAAAAATTAGCAAATCATGAAAGTAAGCAATATGTAGCCAGAATTACACATAATGATGATAACATAAATCAAATAGTTTAATTTCAGAACTCATACTATTGGTATAGTTTATAAGCCTAATAAAACCTCTACATTTTTTACTAGACCACAAATCGTAGCTAAAAGACAAGATAATTGCAAATAACAATAACAGAATTGGAAACATTTCTAAACTGGGACTTTTTACATGTTTTTTTATTTTGGCCTAACATTTTCAGTTGGCTACAATCCAGGGATAAGCAAATAAGCTTGTGAATGCATCTCTACGGTTACCTCCAGGTAACTCTCCTATAATGGAGAAACAAGACCTGCAAAGCTTGGCAATTGTTTTAAAAGAAAGGGATTCTATCTGCTGCTGGCTGAACATTATGAAGTTGTAGGGCCATGTCAAATGTACAGCTGCATGCTGGCCACCACTGATTTGTAAATGAAACAGCTCAATTTAAACGTGAAACCCTTTTTATTTAACATATCTATGACTCACTCAATAATTTCTTGGGAATACAGAAGCATCACTGTATAACAGCCAAAGACTTCATAGACTTTTAACAAAAAAGTATGTACATATGATTTATATTTGACTTCATTTTTGTACATTACTGTGTTTTAAGGCACGGTTATCTATTTTTTGTGTTTGTGTTCTGTCTCTATTCCTACAAGGTTTTGGGGAATCCTTGTAAGATTTACTGCTGCCTTAAAGTATATAGTGAGCACCTATTTTTGTGTTTTTTATAAGTATATTCTAATCAGAAGTAAAAAATAAATAAAAAATCTATGGGACCATAACCTGTATGTATATGTAGAATGCTGCCAGGTTGTTTTGAAATAATTGCTGCCAGTTAGGAAACATCTTTTATTTAAAAAAAAAAAAAAAAAAAAAAAGCCTACTTAAAGGAACACTCCAAAAGTGAGCACTTAAGCTTGCTGAAGAGCTTTATGTTTGAAGAGAGACCCCTTTTCTCCATTTTACAAAAAGTGCAGATTTCAATAAAAATTGAAAACTGGCACTTGTATAAATTAAACCTGTTACCTCCACCCACCAAGCTGTCAACCTGCCATGTTACTTCCTTTTAGTTTAGCCTAATTTAGCTAAATTCAAGAGGCAGGCAATACAGCTGGGCAACTGCCTTAGAAAGACTTCAGTTGCACTGGAAAGAATGTGATTAGACAGCCACAGAAAGTCTGAGCTATGAAGGGAGGGGAGGAGGGATTGCAAAAGCTACAGAAGAGAGGTGTGCAGCTTTTGCAAGTCGGTTTTAAATTAAAGGATCACTATAGGGTCAGGAACACAAATATGTATTCCTGACCCTATAGAGTTAACACCACCATCTAGCCCCCTTGGGCCCCTCATGCCTCCATAAATATAGCAAAATCTTACTGTATTCAAGCCTGAAGCTGTAGCTCTGCATGTTGTTTGCCTCAGAAAAAAAAGCTGTCTGCTGACATCATCAGAAGTGGTGGCCTGATCCAATCACAATGCTTCCCCATAGGATTGGCTGAGACTGACAAAGAGGCAGCTCAGAGGCAGAGCCAGCATGATTCAAACACAGGAAAGTTCAGTGTCTGCATGCAGAGTGAGGAGGCACTGAATGTTTGGATGCATTTTAGGCAGCCATGACCCAGGAAGGATCTCTAACAGCCATCTGAGGAGTGGCCAGTGAAGTTATCACTAGGCTGTAATGTAAACACTGCATTTTCTCTGAAAAGACAGTGTTTACAGCAAAAGTCCTGAAGGTAATGATTTTACTCACCAAAACAAATTGAATAAACAGTAGTTGTTCTGTTGACTATAGTGTCCGTTTAAATACCTACATTGGGGTTATATCTACTAAACAGTTTGTTTTATGGCAGTGGAATGTCATTGTAAATGGGGGCTACATAGTGACCATCATTATAAGTACTTAGAACAATTCAATAAACATCAATGTCATTTGACAAGCAGGACCTTACATTAAATATTACTTTTCCCAAGAGACCTCTACTAAATGGACCTGCAGGGCCACTATCTATATATATCAGCAGAGTGAACACAGAATAACCGCGTACTTAGCAACCAAAACTTTCTATGCTATGTAACCATAATAAACCTATGTAAATCAATAAACATAAGAGATATAAGATAATACCTCTTCGAGTTTCTTGGCATTCCCAGTCACAAAGACTATGCTCCTGCTGGTGAGAGCGGCCATCACAGCTAGCTGCTAATTGTAACTCAACATGCACAGACCTGGCAGAACCACGCTGCACTTCCGGGTTCACCGTCACCGCTTCGTCCAATCAGAGAGCGCCGCCGGCCAGCATTCCACCAATCAACGCTCTCAACTGAACCGACTACACCCGGAAGAGGTTGGAATGTTGACAGCACGTGTGACCAAGGGGCTATAGGAGATATTGGTCTACCATGAATCTGCTGCCCAAGAGCTCCAAGGAGTTCGCCTCCACTGAGTACTGGGAACAGTTCTTCAGAAAGCGAGGGGAACGAGCCTTTGAGTGGTATGGCGGGTACCTTGACTTGTGCGGTGTGTTACACAAATACATTAAACCTAAAGACAAGGTATGTGCTGAGCGACAGTGGATTATGAAAATGTACTGGTGTAACCAGCTCCGGTAATATAAATAATTACATACACGGTTACATTTTTTTTTTTTTTTTTTTAATCCCACAGGGATAGATCGTTATAATGCCCTAAACATCCATGAAATGTCAAAACACTGTCAGATATGCTTTAGAAAAGCTATTTATAAAACTGACTATGGCGTTCATTTACCAAAATCTAGATTGTAGTGAATTGAAATCCAAAAGGTAAAATATAACTGAAATGCTGAATTCTCAAAAAAGACAGACCTGCGCAGATTTGTGATGTCTGGTGAATAACCCATACCGAATAATAATCTAGTAGGATTGGAAATCTAGCACATCAGATATTGCAAGTTTAAATCCAGGTAAAGCACAGTGAAATAGCACCCTTTCCTTACTAGTCAGGTACTGTGGCTGGAAAAGGGAGCACTCAACAGTTTCAAACTTTTTTTAATGGCGTAATGAAACCATGTAATACAAGTGGTTCAATCAACATCGACGCTGGTAGGATCAACACAAACTTGCATTTCACCTTACATCTTTGCATCACTTTTTATAAACACTTTGATAAATAAATAACCCCCTTTGTGTAACTTTGAAATGTACGTTTAGCTACTGTACACATTATAATTTATATGATTCTCCTAATTCATAGTTTTTCTGAAAACATACCAATTTTTCCATTTCTACAAATGAAGGCACTAGCCTAGCCCTAGCTTCTCTAATTGGCTTCTTCTAGCTTATCTTTTGTCTTCACAGTGGCTTTATCTACAATCTCTTTCATCATTCACAGAAGAGGTGAGGATATCACTATTAGCAGTGTTTCTATGACAAGAACATCAGAATTTAATATGTTAAATATTTTTTTCTTACATTGTTCTGTGATAAATTGACTATGTATGTTCCATATGCCTTTTTCTTGTCTGTATCACTTTCCAAAAAAATAATTCAGTGTTAGCAAAGATTTTACTGCCGTTTTGAAAGGGGGGAAAAATATATTTGTCAAGGAGAAATACCGTTGCGAGGTGTTATCAATGACATGCAATTTATTTATATATTTTTTTAACAAAAGGAAGGTTTTGTTGTCTTTACACCTGGTATGTATGGTCATGCTTACGTGAAAGTACATTTTGTTCATTTATAAAAATGTTTGATTACATGTAAGACTTCACATTTAAATTCCTAATCTGACCCTATCAGATAATCTTCATGTAGTCCCTTTATTAACATTATTTTTTTTTTTTCTCATGTTTGACAGGTTTTGGTTGTGGGCTGTGGGAATTCCGAGTTGAGTGAGCGCCTGTATGATGCTGGATGTCAAAACTTGGCAAATATTGATGTCAGTGAAGTCGTTATACGTCAGATGAGTGAACGCAATGCCAGCAAACGGCCTCTGATGACATTCCAACTCATGGATGCCACACAAACTACATTTAGTGACTCTCACTTTCAGGCAGTTCTGGATAAGGGAACATTGGATGCCATCCTGACTGATACTGAAGAGAGAACTCTAAAAATAGCCAGTGATATGCTGTCTGAAATTTCCAGACTCCTACAGATTGGAGGACGTTATTTGTGTGTCTCTTTGGCCCAAGCTCATGTGTTGGAGAAGCTGGTGAGACATTTCTCTGAAGGTGGGTGGATGGTTAGAGTTCATCAAGTCTTGGAAGGTAATAGTCCTGAATCCGGCAGCAAGTTCCCAATGCCAGTATTTGTGTTTTTAATGACCAAAGTTCGGCAGATTCCTGGCTTCCCTCAGGTCTTTGAGATGATGTCAGATGAAGAGGGAGGAAAACCTGTTCGATGGTCAAGTCCTGAGGAACTAATGGAGGCAGTGAAGGAAAGGCAACGATATGCACTGCTCAGAAACAAACTCCAGCAGAACCAAAGTTCTCAAGAGGTTTCACTGGACTTATGTGATGGGGATACTGGCAAGAGTCGTTACACTTTTTACATAGTGGATTGTCCAATAATAAAACAATCCCACTCTAATCATTTTGCTATATTTATCAGTGAGTATATACTGTGTGCTGTGGGATTCTTTTCATATTACCGTACACTGATTAAAAAAGTGTGGAGCTAGCAGTAGTATTAGAATATTGTTTTTATTCAGCGTTAAACTGTTTCTAATGTTTTAAACACTTAATGAGAGTCCCCTGCTGCACATCTCCCTCTCTGCTGCGTGGACGAATGAGGAAGCATTAGCCTGAGCAGCAATGGGCAGCTGTGATTGCCTTAGAGTGTCAACCGATCACTCTAAGCCCATCAGTTTACCATTGCTGGTATGTATTGGTATGGCTAGAAAGAAGTGTATAATATCTGCATTAGCCATATAGGGATCGGGTTGTGAATGGCCAGGGACACACATTTAGTGTTAAGCATTTCAAAAATTGTTTAACATGGAATGGAGGCACTATTAACAATTCAACGAGATGAAAATGTTATGATGCCCAGTATCTATAACTGGTATTATGAGTATATACATGCAAGTGGATTTTTAAAGGGACACTAAAGTCACTAGAACAACTACAGCATAATGTGAGTGAGTATAATCCTTTATATGCAAGCATTTTTATGCAAACCCTGCCTTTTCAGAGAAAAGGCAGTGTTTACATTGCCCCTAGGGACACCTCCAAATGACCACACCTCAGATGAACACTGGAGGTGCTTCCTGACTCAGTGCTGCACAGTAGGCAGCACTCAGCATCCCCACGCTCTGCATGGGGATGCTAAATTTTCCTCATAGAAATGCATTGATTCAATGCATCTCTATGATGAGGTGCTGATTGGCCAAAACAACATTTGGCTCTGCCCCCTGCCTTTTTTTTTTTTTTTTTTTTTAATCCAATCCAATGCTTTCCCTATGGGGTTTGCAGCCCCCAGAATAAATGCTCCTGGGTGCAGTGGTCCTTTATTTTTAACTGTGCAATGTGTAAAATATGACAGGTTTTGTAGGGTGTCCTTTAGCTGCTAGAGGTACTAGCACTGACTGAGAAAACCTCCCTCATAGTGGGCTGATTCACTGCTTTCCTATTTGGAATGTTAGATGCTTGTATGGCATTCTCCACATATACACATTAGATCCTCAATGCTCCTTCATGAGGAGCATTGGATTAAACCGTTGTGGAGGAGGCCATGAGGTGAGCAGCTCGGAGGAAGCTGTTCCGTTGAAATTAGTAAGTTAAAAAGCAGGAAAATAGTTCTAGTTGCTTAAAAATCTTGGCCTGGATTTAAGCCGTGCAGAAGAAATCTGGACCAAATTCAGGTTTGTTTGGGGCTTGAATTACAACATCAATGTTAGATAGAGAGACCAATATCTGGATTATGCAGTCTGGATGGTTCAGCCACATTTTGTACAGGGCTATTGGGACTAGTGAACCTTGTAAGTGTTACTCTGATCTGTTTTGTTTTTGGGTTGGTATAATTTAATTCTACATAAATGTTGCAGCAACATGAGCATAGAGCTTTTTTTTAATATTCTTTTTGTTGTGCCATGAAATGCAGACAAATTTGACATGCCCCAACAGCAGATGTCAACCAGTTCAGTTCACAAAGCTTTGTTGTTGTAGGCAGAAAACATGCACATTTTTATAAAATAATCTCATGCTAAGCTGGTATATCAAGAAGGCTATTTCCCACTGATGTCAGAACTCAAAGTACTGTCTAGACATGCATAGTAGGTGTAATGGACTTGTTGGATCAAGATATGCATGTAGAAGGAAATAAGGATCAAAAAGTAAATTCGTAAGCATTTTTAGCCTTCCAAAGACATGATGTGATGCTAACTAGAGGTAATTGAGATTGAACATGCTGAGCGAGCAACTGAGACTACTTTTCAATTAAGTCCACTGCACTGGATCGCAAAAAAAAAAAAGTAGGTAGCCTGCACCTCTGCCTTTAATAAGCTGTGTAGTGTTGTCACCGGGCTTAACCTTTGCCCTTCATAAGGCTCTTGTCTTTTATGACTTTTTAAGATTAAGGATTTTATTTATTTTTACTTACCGTCTTTTGGATTTCTTTAGTAATGATGCTCCTGGATTTGTACATGTCCAAGCCATTTAGTTATAAATGTAGATTTACAGACCATCTTTCACTTATGCAGGTTTACACTTAACCTATGACTCTGTTACAGTTGTAGTAGACTCAGATTTTTAATATCCCTGTACTTAGTTTGTTTCGGACAACTTCGCATAATGCCATGCTACCTTTACAACTATATCTCCCTTCTATAATGATATGTAGGATACACCTATTCATTGTGTATAGATAATCGTTTATTTTAATTATTTTGCTGCTTTTTTTTTTAAATCATTGTCTCTGTATGCAATTTGCAGTTCCTCAAGGCAGGGAAACTGAATGGCTTTTTGGATCGGAGCCAGGTCGAAGGCAGCTTGCTGGAAGTGTTGGATTTCGGCGTCTGATAATTGTGGCTTTGCACAGAGATCAGCAGTATGATGGCATGCAAGCTATTCAGGCAGAGTTGTCCGCTAAGGTCCTAGAATTAGCTCCTGCAGGATTGCCAGATAACCAACAGGTACTACGTCTCATCTGAACAATTATTGTAACTTTAAATTGTCACATGCTACATCTTGCATTAGGGCAGCATTGCTAGAAATTAGATAGGAAAAAAGTATATATGCGCACACATTATGTGGAACAAAAAGGTGCAGTGTATTATGGGAACGTAATGCCATCCATCAAGGTGTTATGGAGATATAAATATAAAGCAAGTGACTCATCATATCCAAAACACTTAAAGGATCACTATAGTGTCAGGAAAACAAAGCGTTTTTCCTGACATTATAGTGCCCTGAGGGTGTCCCCATCCTCAGGGTCCACCTCCCGTGGCGCTGAAGGGGTTAAAACCCCTTCAGCCACTTACCTTAATCCAGCGCTGGGCTCCCTCGGTGCTGGTGACCTCTCCTCCCCCCGCCGACGTCTGCTCCCTCTGCCAACGTCAGCTGAGCCGAATGCGCATGCAATGCTTTCCTATGGACGCTCTGCACGATGGAGGCATAAAATGCCTCCAGCGTCGCAGATGCGCCTCTAGTGGCTGTCCGGAAGACAGCCACTAGCAGCTGGTTTAATCCCAAATGTAAACATAGCAGTTTCTCTGAAACTGCTATGTTTGCATCTGAAGGGTTAAAACCTGAGGGACCCGGCACCTGGCTCATTGAGCTGAAGTGGTCTGGGTGACTATAGTGTCCCTTTTAAAGGGTTACTCAAATGCTTTTCTCTGCCTTATTTAATCTTTTAACTGACTTATTTGGCACTTGATACACAAAAAACATTATGAAGGGAGGAGTGGAAGGAGAGGGAGGGCTGTGTTTAGGAAGATGGGACACTGTTAGACTGTGTGTGCACACAGTCCAAAGGGCTTCTATTTGAAGGTGCTCACTGCACTGCCTGCGATTGAAGAAGCTAGTTACTGTGTGCTGGTGATGGATGTAAATTTTACCCAGTGCTAATATTAGACCACTACATTTTCCAGGGGTGCAACAAGACCCTGGCATAGTAGAGCCTAATTTTTCTGTATAGACCGTGTTTCAAACAGAAATGCAGCGTATACATATACTGCTAAAAGCAGAAGTGATCATGGGGGTTAGAGTACCACTTTAAGATGGCAATATGTTCCTTAAATACACACTTCTGTGTTTTGTATGTTTGATATTATTAGTGTAGTTTGGATTTAATGATGAGTGTTTTGTGTAGTGTATGGGTTAATGTACAATTATTGTGTTTGGGTTATGTAGGGTTTCTGTTTAGTATAATGAGTTGGGGGTTAAAGAGAGGACATTTCTCTAAGGACAGCATGGAGAATCTAACAGTATGCCGAATATTTTTATTATGTTAGCAGTGATGGGCTCCAGCCCCCTCCTCACATTCAAATACATTGTCCCCAAATCCAATACACTGCCCCCTTCCACTCTTCTTCACTGCCCCTCCACCCAGTCTAATACACTGCTACACAGCCCCTTAATCTAATACACTGCCCCCACTTCCACCACTCTAATTTAGTATACTGCTCCCTCCTTCCCCAATTTAATACACTGCACCCTCCATCCCCCAAATTAATACACTACCCCCTCCCCAATTTAATACACTGGCCTCACCCCCACACCCTCCCCACAATTTAATACACTGGCCAGCCCCCTGCCCCAAATAAATACTTTCCTCTGTCCCCAATTGTTAATCCACTGCCTCATTCAAATGAATACACTGGCTCCTCCAAATTAATACACTGTGCCCCTCCCCAATTTTAAAAGACTACACAAGAAGGTCCCCCAAACACCTCTTCTCATACCTCAAGATGAGCTGCCCGTCTTCCAGTTCCAGCTCTGCTCTTTTCTACACAAGCAGGCCAGGTGCTTCTCTGGCACTGCGAATGGAGGGATGGGGGAGTGGTTGGTCTGCTCTGCAGACAGACAGCCACACTGCGTTCTTGCGGACGTGGAAGGGAAGACCAGAAGCAGACAGTAAATATCTTTCCTATCTTGCGGCTAGTCGCGGGCCGCAAATATATTAATTGTGGGCCGCAAGTTTGACATGCTTGCACTTCAGTATGCTGTAGTCGTTATGGTGCCACCACATGGTCAAGAGCAATACTGTTCTTGAATGTTGGCTAGGTCCCCCAGGCATCTGGGTGGCCAGTGGCTGTATGTGTCCTTGGTTAGCAGCTTGGGTGACTACTGACTGGTGTTTGAAGCTTTCACAAGACCAAGCTTAACTAGGTCCCCCAAGTATCTGCAATCAGATATTTCTAAAGCAGATAAAGCGAAGTACACCCAGGTAGGTGTGAAACCATTCATAATGATTTGCCTCCTTATTATGGGTACCATAAACACTACAGCAGGCTATAGAAGTTATTGTACTGGGAGTACCCAACTAAGTAATTCTGTTTCCTTTTACATTTTATTTATTCTATTCTACTCAGGTTCCATTTCTTTCAACTGGTGCAGACATTGGGAACCGTGTAGTACAACATCGGGGCAAAAGCGAGTTAAGCGGCGAGTTTGTCATTGAAGATGTTAGAGGAGATGGGACAGACTACTTTAGACGTCTTATATTTCTGAGTAACCAAAATGTAGTACAGTCTGAGGTCAGGTTACTTCCAGGCAATACTAACTGTGGTAAGAACGTATGTTCTATTTCGATTTTCCCATTGCAGTATACAAATTAGCTTTCTGCAGAGCCCCAACAGAATGTTTATTGGATCTTAATGGGTCAATAAGGACCATGACAAATTTTCAATATTTGCAAAGCCTTTGGTGCATCAAGCTCCCATCACTGTCAGTGATTTGTATACATCACTGTATAAGACGGCTTTGTTAATCAGTGATGTCCATAGGTGGACTAACATACAGGAGCAGAGGGTGTAGAGGGCTCACAGTGCATACAATTTGGATAAATGTCTCTATCCTTCCCTTTCTGGCTCTTCAGAGAGCACAAACAGTGGCTTCATTTGTCATTAATCAGCAGCTGATCTTGTCCACAATTCTGCCCATCTTGTGAGAGTAGTGCAACTGTGGCTGAAAGTTAAACTCTTGTTAACCCCTGTTGTATGCTTCTGGATTATGGAAATCCTACATAGACCATTGAGATGCTCCTGTTTGGAGCTTTTTCCTAGTCTGGGAGGGATCAGCAATTTTAAGAGCTAAACATGTTTCATTTTTTACCCATGTTGTTTAACCCCTTAAGGACCAAACTTCTGGAATAAAAGGGAATCATGACATGTCGTGTGTCCTTAAGGGGTTAAATATTGTTTCATTTCCAATATTTTGTGTCCCTTTTTAGCTTTGGAGATCTTCTAAATCTTTTCAACCTGGTTGTCTCATACACTAGTGGCATACATTTGCTATCACCCAAAACATCTTATTTACACACTAAGGGTATTTAATTAAACATAACACTAAGCGAATGGTTAATTAAATACAACAATGCTTCCATTATCCAGGTCAGAAAAAGAAGAAAAAAGTTAAAAAAAATGCGCCAAAGTCGTTAGATGAATCTACAACGCTCACCAGTCCAATAATTGATAAGGGCTATCTGTGCTGTGAACATCACAAGGCAATGATTTCTGGACTTGCCCTGCTTTGTAAGAATGGAATGCTACCAGGTATTGTACCTGTCTGATGGGGATGGGGCTGTAGACCTTTACATACATCAGAACTGCATGGATCCTTGCATTCTTGCTTGGCTTCCTGGCAGTGCAAAGATTCTCATCTGGTTGCATTAAAAAAAAAAAAAAAAAAAAGCTGCAAATATTTAATCCACACAATATTGCAGTGTATAGTTCACATTCCCAAAATGATGTGTGATTGTATGCTTTGTTTTCTGCTATTGAACTAGTTGCATTATGGGAAATTAAGTTGCATGCTTCCAGGAAGTCTACTTTAGAATAAGCTTAACCCCTTAAGGACCAAACTTCTGGAATAAAATGGAATCATGACATGTCACACATGTCATGAGTCCTTAAGGGGTTAAAGGAACACTATAGTCAACAGCTTTATCTTAATGAAGCAGTTTTGGTGTAAAGATCATGCCCCTGTAGTCTCACGTCTCAATTCTCTGCCATTTATGAGTTAAATCACTTTTGTTTCTGCTGTGACTGACACAGCTTGCATGAAAACAGTGGTTTAACCCATTAAGGACCAAACCTCTGGAATAAAAGGGAATCATGACATGTCATGTGTCCTTAAGGGGTTAAATTTTCAATATGATGTAACTTACTTTCAAAGTTTTTATCTCCTGCTCTGTAAATTTAATTACACGCAGGAAGTGCCAGTAGGGTCAAGAAGGCTACTAACAGAGCTGAAGATAAGACATTATAAATTAAACAGAATTTGCAATAAAGGAAGTGTAAATATTAGATGAATATTTACAGGAAGTGTTTAGGAAGACTGTATTAGTCACATGCAGAGAGGTGTGACTATGATTGCATAAACAAAGTGATTTAACTCCTAAAGGGCAGATAATTGAGATGCATTATCTCTACACCAAAATTGCTTCATTAGGCTAAAGTTGTTTTGGTGACTATAGTACCCATTTAATATGACGCTACAGTCACTAGAACTACAGCTTAATGTAATTGTTCTGGTGTATATAGCCTGTCCCTGCAAGTAGTTTAATGTAAACACTGCCTTTTCAGATGACTACTAGGGGTACTTTCTTGGTTGAGCACTTAAACATTCTGCTTGGAAGTGCTGAACTTTCCCTATAAAGATGCATTGAGTCAATGCATCTCAATGAGGAGATGGTGATTGGTGCAGAGCGGCATTTTTCCTCGCATCGATTAGAGACAATCAAAGGTCTGCAAGAAAAAGACATGTTTCAAAACTGAGCCTGTAATGACAGGATTTAATCTCAGTATCGAATGAATATGTTATCAGAGTAGACATTTTTATAAGTAGGTTTGGGTAGTAGCACAGGAATTAAAATTTTAAGCCCTGTTGAATTAACACCTTTTTATTTACCTTTTTGCCACTCTGTCAGAGAATGATCATAGGAAGTCCCTCTAGTGGCTGTCTGTATTACAACCACTTGAGGTGTTTGTAAGCGAAATGTAAACCTTGATTTTTCTCTGAAAAGGCTACGTTAAGCTGTAATGGATTTGGTGCTTAGTTTTCTTTACGTCCGATTCTCTTTCTAAAAATGTATAAATTTTCTATTTACTTGCAGAGAATCTAATATCTGTTCTGGTGATTGGACTTGGTGGGGGCAGCCTGTCTCTTTTTATCCATGATTACATTGGGAATTCACAAGTGGAGGCTGTTGAAATTGACCCATCTGTGCTTGATGTAGCATGCCAGTGGTTTGGTTTTTCGCAAGATGAGCGCATGAGAGTGCACCTTGGTGATGGCCTTGTCTGTATTAATGACTTGGCGAAACAAGGTAAGGTTTGGTCACACTCTGCAGCAGTTTTCATAAATACAGGCAGCAATAATAAATACTATTGACATTTAGCTAGTTTTGAAGCCTGAGAATCCAATTTTAAATTAACACATACTGTACTGAAATTTAGATTAGCAGTGTTATTCACTAAATTGAGAATTCAAGGTGATTTTCAAACTTAAGGTCAAAATAGTTAAACTGTAAAAAAATGTATTATTCAGCTATGCTTTGTGTTTAGCTACCTTGGCCTTAAATTTTAAATTCTCTTTGAATACTGTCTTTAGTGAATATCCCTGATAGAAAGTTTACAATCTTTCTCCTTAAAGGGATACTTGAACAAATATAACGATTACAGCATTCTGTAGTGGTTATGGAGCCAGGAGTCCCATGGAAAGCTGTTAATATTTTATTAACAGTTTGACGCTTAGCTGTGTCAAGCATTCGTGGTCTTTCTGGCCTGCACTGGTATGCTAAAATGGAACATCATATTTTTACATAAGAAGAAGAATTTTAGATGCTATTCACTAGCAGAGAGTTGTCAGCTAACACACTTTAATCATTTAATAATGTTCACAGTTGCTAGGCTAATTTTAAAGTATCAACTTCTGTTTTAGCTTATTAGTGCAGAACAGAAAGACCACAGGTGCCTGACAGCCAGGAAAAAGTGTCAAAATGTTTGTAAGTGATTTGACAGCTTATCAAGGAATAACACCAAGGGACTCCTGACGCCATCATCACTCGACATTGCTTATAGTATCCATTTAACTTCTTGTTTATACTTTCCCCAAAATACTCTGCATCACGAGTAGCTGGGGAGCTTATTGGGGTTGATGGTTCATCTCTATGATGTGTTTTCTCAAAGATTGAAAGACATCAAAACCACTTCTTCAAGCTCAGTATGATGAAGGGTGTACTTGCAAAAATAATACTTTATTTACTAAACCACTGCAGGAAATAAATTAAAAAGAAAATATTAAGGGACACTCCACTGCCCCCACCCCAATAAAATGACTGTTTAGTATGTATAACCCCAATAAAAAATGCATGCATTTAATTATGTATTGATTTTTATATCTTAAATCTGCTTGCAGAAGTTGCAGATCTTATAGTTACATAGTATAGCTGAAAAGAGACTTGCGTCCAGCAAGTTCAGCTTTCCTCACATATGTTTTTGCTGTTGATCCAAAAGAAGGCAAAAAACCCAGTCTGAAGCACTTCCAATTTTGCAACAAACTAGGAAAAAATTCCTTCTTGACCCCAAAATAGCAGTCAGATGTCTCCTTGGATCAAGCAGCTATTACCCCACTAATTAGAAATGATATCCCTGGATGTTATGTTTTTGTAAGTATTTATACAACTTCAGTTTAAACATCTGTATAGACTCTGACAAAACCACCTCTTCAGGCAAAGAATTCCATATCCTTACTGTAAAAAAACATTTTCTTTGCCTTAGATGAAATCTCCTTTCTTCCAGCCTAAATGTGTGACCTCGTGTCCTATGTATAGCCCTGTTTATGAATAGATTTCCAGATAATGGTTTGTACTGGCCCTGAATATATTTGTTGAATGTATATGTTATCATATCTCCTCTCAGGCGCCATTTTTCCAAACTAAAGAGATTAAAATTTTTTAACTTTCCTTCGTAACTAAAATGCTCCATTCCTTTTATCAATTTTGTAGCTCGTCTCTGCACTTTGTTCTAGTGCCATGATATCTTTCTTTAGAACAGGTGCCTAAAATTGCACAGCATATTCAAGGTGTGGTCTTACCAGCAATTTATAAAGAGGCAAAATTATATTTCATCTCGAGAATTTATTCCCCTATTTATACATGACAAAACCTTACCGGCCTTAGCAACGGCAGGTTGACATTGCATGTTGCTGTCTAATTTGTTGTCTATAACAATTCCCAAATCCTTCTCGTGTGTGGTTATCCCTAATTCACTACCATTTAGGGTGTAAATTGCTTGTGCATAACTTTGCATTTCTCTATGTTAAATTTCATCTGCCATTTTAGTGCCCAGTCCCCCAATGTATCCAAATCCCTCTGCAGCAAGGCAATATCCTGCTCACATTTTATTACTTTACAAAGTTTTGTGTCATCTGCAAACACTGATACATGGCTTCCAATGCCCATTTCAAGATTATTTATAAATATGTTAAATAGAAGCAGTCCAAAACAGAACACTGAGGGACACCACTTACCACTTTTGTCCAGCTTGAAAATTTACCATTAGTGACAACTCGTTGTACTCTATCCTTAAGCCAATTTTCTACCCAAGAACAAGAATATTCATCTAGACCACCAATTTCTTTTAGTTTGAAGACTAACCTATTGTGAGGAACCGTATCAAATGCCTTGGCAAAATCCAGGTAGATCACATCCACTGCAACACCCTGATCTATACTTCTACTTACTTTTTCGTAGAATGCAAATTAGGTTAGTTTGACATGACCTATGTTTTTCATAAAACCATGCTGATTATTGCTAATAACACAGTTCTTCCCAATGAATTCCTGAATATTATCCCTTAATAGCTGTTAAGCTCACAGGTCTATAATTTCCAGGCAAGGATTTTGAAACCTTTTTAAATATAGGAACAACTTCTGCCTTCCTCCAATCCTCCGGTACAATACCTGAAACAAAAGAATCTTGAAAAATTAAATACAGAGGTTCACTTATTTCCCCACTTAGCTCCTTAAGTACTCGTGGGTGAATACCGTTAGGCCCCAGAGCTTTATTTACATTAATTTTCTTTAATAGCTGTAGCACCTTGTCTCGAGTTATCCAATCACAAGTTATGTGCAAGTTTGTTGCAGCAATCATTTGCTTATCTCTTGCCATAGGATCCTCATTAATATATACTGAAGAAAAATAATTATTTAAAATATCTGCCTTTTCCTGGTCTTCATTAACTAACAGACCCATCTGTTTTCAGTATACCTACACTTAAATTTCTTTGTTTTTTTTAGAATTGATGTACTTGAAAAGATTTTTGGGGTTGGTTTTCCATTCTTTGGCTATCAATTTCTCATTTTCTAGTTTAGCCACTTTAATTGCCTTTTTGCAAGTATTATTGGCTTCCTTATATCTTATATAGGATGCCTCTGATTTGTTTGATTTAAAAATGCTTTAAATGCCATTTTCTTATTTTTAATCTCTTGTTTTAATTTGTTTCTTTTATATTTATTACCCAATGGTACATACTGTGAAATGTACCTTTCTAATATTTGTTTGAATAGTTTCCATTTTTCCTCAGTGTTTTTATCACTAAGGAGTTTATGCTGGTCGATATGTTGTAGAGCTGCTCTAATCTTATTAAAATTGCCTTTTTTTAAAAAATTATACGTTTTAATATACCCCACATGCTTTTGCTTTTTTGAGTTTATTTCAAAAGTTACCATATTGTGAAGAAAAAGTGTGTGAACCCTTTGGAATGACATGGATTTCTGCACAAATTGGTCATAAAATGTGATCTGATCATCATCTAAGTCACAACAATAGACAATCACAGTTTGCTTAAACTAATAACACACAAAGAATGAAATGTTGCCATGTTTTTACTGAACACACCAAGTAAACATTCACAGTGCAGGTGGAAAAAGTATGTAAACCCTTGGATTTAATAACTGGTTGAACCTCATTTGGCAGCAATAACTTCAACCAAACGTTTCCTGTAGTTGCAGATCAGACGTGCACAACGGTCAGGAGTAATTCTTGACCATTCCTCTTTACAGAACTGTTTCAGTTCAGCAATATTCTTGGGATGTCTTGTGTGAATCGCTTTCTTGAGGTCATGCCACAGCATCTCAATTGGGTTGAGGTCAGGACTCTGACTGGGCCACTTCAGAAGGCGTATTTTCTTCTGTTTAAGCCATTCTGTTGTTGATTTACTTCTATGCTTTGGGTCATTGTCCTGTTGCAACACCCATCTTCTGTTGAGCTTCAGCTGGTAGACAGATGGCCTTAAGTTCTCCTGCAAAATGTCTTGATAAACTTGGGAATTCATTTTTCCTTCGATGATAGCAATCCGTCCAGGCCCTGACGCAGCAAAGCAGCCCCAAACCATGATGCCCCCACCACCATACTTCACAGTTGGGATGAGGTTTTGATGTTGGTGTGCTGTGCCTTTTTTTCGCCACACATAGTGTTGTGTGTTTCTTCCAAACAACTCAACTTTGGTTTCATCTGTCCACAGAATATTTTGCCAGTACTGCTGTGGAACATCCAGGTGCTCTTGTGCAAACTGTAAACGTGCAGCAATGTTTTGTTTGGACAGCAGTGGCTTCCTCTGTGGTATCCTCCCATGAAATCCATTCTTGTTTAGTGTTTTACGTATTGTAGATTCGCTAACAGGGATGTTAGCATTTGCCAGTGACTTTTTTAAGTCTTTAGCTGACACTCTAGGATTCTTCTTCACCTCACTGAGCAGTCTGCGCTGTGCTCTTGCAGTCATCTTTACAGGATGGCCACTCCTAGGGAGAGTAGCAGCAGTGCTGAACTTTCTCCATTTATAGACAATTTGTCTTACTATGGACTGATGAACAACAAGGCTTTTGGAGATACTTTTATAACCCTTTCCAGCTTTATGCAAGTCAACAATTCTTAATCGTAGGTCTTCTGAGAGCTCTTTTGTGCGAGGCATCATTCACATCAGGCAATGCTTCTTGTGAAAAGCAAACCCAGAACTGGTGTGTGTTTTTTATAGGGCAGGGCAGCTGTAACCAACACCTCCAATCTCATCTCATTGATTGGACTCCAGTTGGCTGACATCTCACTCCAATTAGCTCTTGGAGATGTCATTAGTCTAGGGGTTCACATACTTTTTCCACCTGCACTGTGAATGTTTACATGGTGTGTTCAATAAAAACATGGCAACATTTCATTCTTTGTGTGTTATTAGTTTAAGCAGACTGTGATTGTCTATTGTTGTGATTTAGATGATGATCAGATCACATTTTATGACCAATTTGTGCAGAAATCCATATCAGTCCAAAGGGTTCACATACTTTTTCTTGCAACTGTATTTCCCAAATGCTCCCTTACTTGAATGTTGGCTAAAAGATAAAGAGATCCAGACAAGCATCCTTTCTAGTTGGTGTTTGTACCAGTTGTGACATAAAGGTGTCATTTAACACATTCAAAAACCGTATTCCCCTTACTGAAGTATTAGTCCCTCTATCCCAATTTATGTCCGTGTAATTAAAGTATCCAATAATTAACGTGTTACCCCGATTTGCAGTTTTCCCAATTTGCCCTAACAGCAGTTCTTCCTCATTAATATTTACATTTGGTGGTTTATAACATATCCCAACCAATAATTGATTTCCCTTTGTTTGCCCCAAGCAGATATCTACCCAAAAAGCTTTCACATTTTCCTCGTCACACTCCACATGCTGGAGATTTGACTTTAACTCATGGCTGACAGACAAACATACCCCACCACCCTTCTTGTTTTTCCTATCCTTCCTAAATAATGTGTACCCATTTAAGTTAACTGCCCAGTCATGTGTCTTATCCTACCATGTTTGTTATGCCTATTATATCTTATTGTTTAGTGTATGCTATTGCCTCTAGTTCCCCCATTTTGTTATATAGGCTCCTTGCATTAGTAAGCATACATTTAATATCACCATGAGTCATTTGTACGTTTTGTGAATTATCAATATTACATACCTCCTCTGTTCTGAGCTTTCCCCTCCACCCCCTTTGTTCTGAGCTGAAGCCCATCTCCTTTCTATCCTATCTCCATTTTCTAGATTGCTTTGACCCTCCCCCCCACTACTAGTTTAAAATCTCCTCCAACCTTCTAGCCATCCTATCCTCCAGCACAGCAGACCCTCTTCCGTTAAGGTGCAATCCATCACGACTATACAAGTTGTACCCAAGCGCAAAATTGGCCCAGTGCTCTAAAAACCCAAAACCCTCTTTCCTGCACAAAGACTTCAGCCACGCATTGACCTCTCTAATCTCCCGCTGCCTTTCTGCTGTAGCGCGCGGCACAGGTAATATTTCTGAAAATATTACCTTGGATGTCTTTTTCTTTAGCTTACTTCCTAGATCCATGAACTCACTCTTTAGGACCTTCCATTTTCCTCTGACTTTGTCATTGGTACTAATATGGACCATGACAGCTGGATCATCCCCAGCCCCTCCCAATAATCTCTTGTATGAAGCGTTTGCAAGTCCTCCCCTACTTTCCCAGTCCAGACTGTCTGTCCAATCACATACTTCCCAATGCAGTTCAGTGAGTGATCTTTGCAAGGGAGGTACTCTGTGCAATTGCTAAACAACCAGGAAGTATCAAGACTGTCGGGTCGCAACTAGATTAATTAAAAAAAAAAAAATGCCAATTTCTATTGAAATCTGCACTCTTTGTAATATGGAAAAAAAGGGAACACACTCTTCACTTACAACAAGCTGAATTGCATTAGGGGTCTGCAGTATCCCTTTAACTAATATAGCCACTTATTTCTAGAGGTAAAGATATATAATCCGTGACACTATAATTAGGCCCAAGGAATACTGCAAATGTTAAAATCTTCTCCATTGACTCTTATAGTGTTTCTTGGGGTGAATACTGATCATTTCTGTCTTTGGATATGTGACTGCTATGTTATCTCCCTCATGTAACCCATCCTTTTACAGGAAAGACTCTTTATGATGTGGTGATGTTTGATGTGGACAGCAAGGACACCAGTGTTGGTATGAGTTGTCCACCACCTGCGTTTGTAGAGAAAGATTTCCTAATCAATGTTCACAAGATCCTGAAACCTGATGGTAAGAACAATCTACATAGAGGTGTGTGTGTGTGTTTTCCTATGTGCATCTGCATCAAACCTTGACCTGTATATCTTCCACATTTTCAATGCAATATATTTTATTATTCTTATTGTTTTATTTTTAATAAAGTATTAAATTTGATTCTTCTCAGGTATCTTTGTTTTGAACTTGGTATGCCGTGATTCAGCGTTGAACGAGAGTGTGATAAAAGTTCTTCGTGACGTTTTTCCCCTGATTTATAAACAAAAAATAGAGGATGAAGTGAATGAAATTCTCTTTTGCTGTTCAGGCTCAGAAAAAAGTCTGTGCCCTCTGGGTCTAATAGAGTCGGCAAAGAATTTGGAAAAGCAGCTTAAAAAAACTGGACTTTTTTGGGACAAAACATACGATTTGGCTGAAATGTTAAAGAATGTGAAGATCATTTGACATGGGGTATATGAAATAATTCTAAATCATAACTGAGCAACAATCTTATACCACAAAAGAAGATAATGGCAACATTCATGGTTTGTTTGTTAGTAAAGGGAGGAAAAGCTCTGCATTATTTTGTCCTGTTAAGTGCCTACATTGTCAAACTTTGCAGGAGACTTAATTGTAGAGCTTGTGAACCATCCATATACGGGTTTGGTTCTCAATCATTTGCCATTGTAGTGTAAGAATGTGTTATAGAATATCAGAAAACTACAGCATGCAGTGACTGAATCTAAATTGCAGACCATCAGCTGTGGAAGAAGGTCAAAACTGCTGGCTATGTTTGTTCCTAAGTAAGGAATAGACAATTTAAAAACATTTAATTAAATATATATATATAATATAATTTTTTATTTTTTTATCTGATTACAGACTGATTAGGATTATGCCCCTGAAACATCAGGAATATCCATTAAAACCTTAGAGGACGAGCTCACGCCTGAAATAGTTTCTGCTGGTTTTATGAACATTAGATGTAGCAAAATAAATTAGACTAAACCTTTTAAAGGAATGCAGACAAAATGGGAGTAGGCATGTTCTCCTGCTCTGTCCTTTCACTCAACTGTTCAAATACCTCTCTATGGTGAGAATGTATTGGTGAGCGAAGGAAAGAACCATAACTTTGTATGAGTTTGTTTGAAGAATCTATACATTAGCTAGCAATTCTAGTGGTACAATTGATAGCTGAAAATATCTCTAGTTTGATCATTTTTTTTTTTTTTTATAATTCTTTATTTTTGTTGTGCATTGCAAGGTTTACAGATGTACATAGACATTGATCATGAGAGAGCATAACATTAACATATGTCTGTTTCACTGCACAGTTTGGGTTTTAATTAACAGGTTCAATAGGTGTCACAGTGGAGAGAGCTCATAAGTGTTGGCAAAGCAGGGTACGCACAGTGATTACCTGGCTCGCTTTAAGAATAGATATTAGTATACTTGGGCTCTTTAAATCATGTTGCTAATATTTAAGTACAATCATCGCTCATTCTAAGGGATTACGCTAGGGGTCTGCTGGGGACCAGAGACTGAATGCGCACTTATTTAAGTGTATAGATTACTGATGTGTATACGGGCGCTTTTATAGAAGAATAGCTTAGTTAAGGTACTCGCTTAGGTAATGTACCACCAGGCAGACTGTGGCTTACTGGGTTATTGACAGCGATAAGCAAGGTGTCGAAACCAACATGTACTGTAACCTCAACTGTTGGCAGCAGATAAGTCAGTTTAGTGGTTACTACAGCCAGGGTGTCTTCTGTTAAGGCTGTCGGTGATGAGTCCTGTGGTGTGCGCCTTAGTCGCCTTCCGTCATGCGGCAGCTGTCGGCTTCAGGAATGGCTCCAGTAGGGATCCCGCTTTCCGGCACAGGCACCCCAGAGTCCTTTGAGTCCCGAGCACCCGCTGCAGGGCAAAGTGTCCATGCATCGCCGTGTTCCCACCACCCGGTCGGTAAGTGAGTACGGGTGTGGTGCTTTATTGGCTACAGTGTCCAGGTGCGGGTAGCGGAGTGATGGAGTTGTTGTGTGTGGATGATCTTTCCGGGTACTCACTCAGTGTTGGTCTGTGGTCTTAGTTATAGGGAGCTCCGGTGGGGTGTGCACAGTTGGGGTAGGCACACGCCTGCTGCTGGGGGGTTGCCATTGCAGAATAACTCCAGAGGCTGTCATGACTCTCGCTGTGTGTTGTGAGGTTCAGCGCGCCATGCGAGGTTCTTCTCTGATGGCCTGTTAGCTAAATGCGTCACTGTCGGCCATTTTGTTGGGTCCGCGTGGTAGCCTTTAGTTGTCGGCGTTGAGTCGCCCAGGGGCACTGCAGGTATTTATGTGCCTGGTGGGGACCGGGATAACCCCCGCCGGTCCAGAGGGGGGGTGAACGGTGCCGGGGCAGCCACAATTGTGCTGTTCATTAGCCGGATCAGAGAGTGAGGCAGCGGCCGTCCGCCCCACTCCCCTCCCGGATAGGCCTCAGATTCCAAGCCCCGGAGCATCTCACCAGGACCCAGATTCACCCGAAATCAGGTGCTCCAGCTGCACCGGGACACTCCAGGACCCCGTACCATGAACTTCCAGGGTGATCCATGCTGAGTAAAGTGGGTATGTGCCCATTTTTAGTTGAATTCCTCAGGAGCCATGGTGTCTTGCAGCCTGCTTGCATGGCCGCCCGGCCCCGCCCCCCTAGTTTGATCATTTTAAACTAGACTGATGGTTATCTTAAACTTTAAAGGGATACTATAGTCACCAGAACCACTACAGCTTAATGTTGTGATTCGGGTGTCTATAGCCTGCAGGCATGTCAATGTAAACATTACATTTTAAGAGAAAAGGCAGTGTTTACGTTGGTGCCTAGTGACATCTCTAGTGGCAGTCACTCAGATGGCCACTAGAGGTGCTTCCTATATCGGTGCTGGCGTTCAAAGTCTCAAAGCATTGCATGAACGTTTTCCATAGAGATGCATTAATTTCTAAGGAGATGATGATTGGCATTGTACAGCATTTTACCACGCATGTGCAATAGCTTTTCACCCTGACCAGCTGTGGTGAGAACTACGTGACATGGGATTAAAGGTGAGTTTATACACTTTTTCACTGGACAGGCGGGCTGGGTAAATGGCAACACCAGCATTATAGTGTCAGGACTACATTTGTATTCCTGACACTATGGTGTTCCTTTAACTTCTCATCCCCTAGGCATCAACTGTGTAAAATAAAATGTTTTTAGTCTGTATCTAGCATAAATGTGTCTATGGAACTACATAGCTAATTTATCTGTTTTGTGTACTTGCCACATTACGTGTGGTTTATAAGAATGTGGAATATGCTAGCAGTTATGATTAGCGTGTAGTATTTACTTTTGTGTTGTCATATAATTAAAATATTCCTGTCTGTCAAAATGGAGAGGTCTTCTTTTTCTCTCGTGATTTGTGTGGCAACATACTAGATTCTGTGGGATGCTACATTAAGCATTTGAGGATGGGTGCTAATGCATATGCACTACTGAAGCCATTTTGGCAAAATGATTAAATGGCAAGCTTTATGTGAGTATATCCTTTTATATTAATTTCCTTATCATAACATATTGAACTTATGCATCCATACCTTTATTTTATTTTTTATTTTATTTTTATGGGTGACCGGTACACTTCACATTTATTTTCTTTTAAATAGATTCTTCCTTCAAAATCACATGCAAAATGAATTGCAGGAATAAATCACATACCTGCACACTTTAACTTAAGTATCCATTTTAATTGAGACTGAGGCATATTATCCTCTGTGTTGGTTCTCAAAACATTGTTTTACTTAATGTTGTACTCCAGCCTCTGAAGTGGAGTTAAATGACCAGGTGTTGTTTTCTTTTGCCCTGCTCTCCATAATTTTGGAAGAAGATCTGGTCTCAACACTTCGAGTAAAGTATCCAGCAATTTCCTGAATGCACAGTATGATGAGCCATGTAGTGATAATCATTCCTAAAGAAGAAACAAAGTTGTGAGACTAAAAAATTGACCTGTGTTCCAGTTCAATTTGCTATGTCTCATAATATTTAAGGTTGCACCAGGTAATTATATTTGCAATTTGACATATTGGTTGTTGTAAATCAGGGATATCTGCTAAGCTTTGAATATACCCCAAATTAAACTCCCCTCCTTTTTTCCTAAAAGTACAGAACTGTCACTGTAATTGCAAATAAAACTTCTACTAAATGTAAGTATGTGGTTAACATTAGAGACAATTTCTACTCTTGCCCATGCAGAGAATTCAGCAAGGGTTCTCTGACATAGATATAACATTTTGACATGTATTTTGTTTGCCACATGCATCAACTAGAACAACACCACGGGTTTGCCAGGATTAACTAAGCGCGGCACCCAAACATGGCTTCACTGGGAACATAGTTACTAAAGGTTGATAAACCAGTGAATTCCGATTTGTAGTGAATAATCCAGCCATGATCAAGGGTGGTGTGTTTATTTTTTTATTTTTTTTTGCTTGTTAACAAAAATGATGGCAATAATGTTTGGGATACAACCTACTTTTGATCACTGGCCACAGCCAGTGATAAGCTCAATCTCTCAAACAATAACAGGATAAGTGCGGCAGCCAGATGCCCAGCGGAATAATTTTTGAGTTGCACTGTTCAAAGACAGGTTTAACTCCATAAAATAACAAGTCAGCCAGAGACTCCAGCCTTCATAACAACTTAGTTGAGGTGAAGTTATGGTAGCTGGAGTCCGGCCGGAGTGTTCCTCTAACGAGAAAGTTGGCAATAATGGTTGGATGAAGCACACAGCAAAAATATCAAAATTGCTTTGGCAATACTGTAAAAAAATACCCAGAGGGATAAATGATTACAAATGTGTTAATTTTTTTTTTTATACAGGTTGTTTGGTCTTAAACTATAACACCTCTCTATGGTTGGTGTTCACCAAGACATACAGTTAATCCAAAATGTCTGAACTGAAAACTGCTTGCTTGAAGGAAAAAAAAAAAAAAAAAAAATGATTCCAAATTTGGCTGCAGCTTAAGTTTTTAAATTTACTTTGAAGTCTATAAAAAAAAAAAAAAATCTCTGTAGTGAATTACTCTAATTGTACAGTTTTATATCTGCTCAATTAATGGTGCAGGGCGTGTTTTTTTTTTGTTTTTTTTAATATGGCACTTGGTAACTTTTTGGAGATAAATGAAAACGCTTCCTCACTGTAATGTCAACATATTAAATATGAAAAATATATTCAAATTTAAGTAATTTTGTGATTGAGAAATCATAAAAGGGAAACATTCACTGGCTAACTGAGGATAGTAAATGTAATGTTTCTCGTTGAAGGCTGTTTTACTGTCCTAAATGTTCAGTATCAACTATATTGTATTTGTAGCAATTTTGTAATTTTTAGTTCACCAGAGGCCATTTATTATGTAGACAGAAAAACTGCTGGTTTTGCCAATTTAACATGTAGCTCACACTAACTGAAACTTGAACAGTTAATTCCAATGGATGTTGTTGTAACTGACAATCTTATACTTTCAGGCTAATTCATTAAAGTGTGCATATTGGGAATTCAAAGTGAATGCAAACATTTTAGTACAAATACCTGAACTGAATGCATACCTAACTTGGGGGAACAAGAATTATTTCCACAGTTATCAAAGTTTTCAAAATTAATTTTGAAATCCCAACACTTCGCACGCATTTAGCTCTCATTATTTGGGTTTCTTCACCAACTGCTGAATTGTAGGGAATTTAAAAACCGCAAATTGTAACATTTGGGCAGAAAGTGCTGATTTGGAAAAATTCTCCAACTTCCTTACGATTACAATTTGGCGGATTTTAATCTTAAACTCTGCAATTCTGTTTCAGTTCACTGCAATTTGGTGTTTAGTTAATAAAAAGCATACACTAAATGTTTTGCTACCAAATAAGACTTTTTCAAAGTGAAAATGTTATAAGGTCTTGCTGAATAATCTCCCTAATCATGTTCCATCGGTATGTGTCCACCTCTACTCTTCCCCAGCTCATGCCCTCTCTCCCTGCGCCCTCTCTCCCAGTCCATACACTCTCTCTAGGATGTCTTTTCTCCATCCCTTGCCCTCTCCCAGTCCATGCCCTCTCTCTAGGCTGTCTCTCCCAGTCCATACACTCTCTCCAGGATGTCTTTTCTCCATCTCACGCTCTCCCAGCCCATGCGCTATCTCTCCAGGCTGTCTCTCTCCCAGCCCATGCGCTATCTCTCCAGGCTGTCTCTCTCCCAGCCCATGCGCTATCTCTCCAGGCTGTCTCTCTCCCAGCCCATGCGCTATCTCTCCAGGCTGTCTCTCTCCCAGCCCATGCGCTATCTCTCCAGGCTGTCTCTCTCTCACTCCATGCCCTCTTTCCAAGCCCGTGCTCTCTCACTCCATGCCCTCTTTCCAAGCCCGTGCTCTCTCACTCCATGCCCTCTCTTGCTCTCTCACGCTCTCTCCTAGCTCGTGCCCTCTCTCGCTCTCTCCTAGCTCGTGCTCTCTCTCAAGGCTGTCTCTCTCCCAGCCCATGCGCTCTCTCCCAGCCCATGTGCTCTCTCTCCAGGCTGTCTCTCTCCCAGTCCATGCCCTCTTTCCAAGCCCGTGCTCTCTCACTCCATGCCCTCTTTCCAAGCCCATGCCCTCTTTCCAAGCCCGTGCTCTCACTCCATGCCCTCTCACGCTCTCTCCTAGCTCGTGCCCTCTCAGCCCATGCCCTCTCTCGCCCTCTCCTAGCTCGTGCTCTCTCTCCAGGCTGTCTCTCTCCCAGCCCATGCACTCTCTCTCCAGGCTGTCTCTCTCCCAGCCCATGCGCTCTCTCTCCAGGCTGTCTCTTTCCCAGCCCATGCGCCTCTTTCCAAGCCCGTGCTCTCTCACTCCATGCTCTTTCCAAGCCCGTGCTCTCACTCCATGCCCTCTCCTAGCTCGTGCCCTCTCAGCCCATGCCCTCTCTCGCGCTCTCTCCTAGCTCGTGCTCTCTCTCCAGGCTGTCTCTCCCAGCCCATGCGCTCTCTCTCCAGGCTGTCTCTCCCAACCCAGGCTGTCTCTCCCAGCCCATGCACTTTCTCCAGGCTCTCTCTCCCAGCCCATGCGCTCTCTCCCCAGGCTCTCTCTCCCAGCCCATGCGCTCTCTCCCCCAGCCCATGCGCTCTCTCTCCCAGCCCATGCGCTCTCTCTCCCGGCTGTCTCTCCCAGTCCATGCGCTCTCTCTCCAGGCTGTCTCTCCCAGCCCATGCCCTCTTTCCAAGCCCGTGCTCTCTCATTCCATGCCCTCTCTCGCTCTCTCCTAGCTCGTGCCCTCTCAGCCCCTGCCCTCTCTCCCAGCCTGTGCCCTCTCACTCTATGCCCTCTCTCCCAGCCTGTGCCCTCTCAGTCCATGCTCTCTCAGCCCCTGCCCTCTCAGCCCATACCCTCTCTCGCAGCCCCTGCCCTCTCGCTCTCAGTCCATGCCCTCTCTCTCAGCCCGTGTCCTCTCAGTCCATGCCCTCTCTCGCAATCCATGCCCTCTCCCAGCCTGTGCCCTCTCAGTCCATGCCCTCTCTCTGTGCCCTCTTTCTCTGTCCATGCCCTCTCCCAGCCCGTGACCTTTCAGTCCGTGCCCTCTCTCTCTCGGTCCGTGCCCTCTCTCTCTCTCAGTCCGTGCCCTCTCTCTCTCTCTCTCTGTCCGTGCCCTCTCTCCCAGCCCGTGCCCTGTAGTATTACTTGGCGCACTCTGAGCTCAGACTGGCGGTAGCGGAGTAGCGGCAGTGCCTGTTGCGGTCACAGTGTGGAAGATCGGGTGCGCGTGCGCAGCGCGAGCCTGGTATCGGCTTCCAGCACCTGAGACAGCGGCGGGTAGGACTGCGATCCGATAGGATTTGGCCGGCCGGCGTGGCGTAGCTCGCGCTGCCCTGATTGCGGCGCGCGCCTTTCCACCAGCACTGCGCGCGGAGGATCAACCTGCGCAATAACGGTCAGCTTTCCTGTCAGTGCAGAGGGCAGAGCTGACGCACACACCGGAGAGAGGGGAAACCGTCTCCACACGCGCTCCGATCTCCCTTCACATAGCCGAGGAGGGCGAGGGAGTGGTACGGGAATAGTGACTGCCCTCATGGGTAACCGGGACATGGAGGACCTGATCCCGCTGGTCAACCGGCTGCAGGATGCCTTCAGCGCCATTGGGCAGATCTGCAACCTGGACCTGCCGCAGATAGCTGTGGTGGGCGGCCAGAGCGCCGGGAAGAGCTCGGTGCTGGAGAACTTCGTGGGCAGGTAAAGGGCGTGGTCAGTGTCCGTGTGTATTTAAACCTTGAAGGCGGGTAATGGGCGTGGCCAGCTTTCCAGGGTCTGGGAGACGCTCAGATCAGGGTACAGGGCTGGACCCATTTGCTTGGGAGCCCGCTTAGTGCAGGTTAAGGGCGTGGCTAGGGTGCTGGTGTATTCGGAGACCCTTGGGGGGCAGGTAACGGGCGTGCCTATCTTTACAGTGTCTGGGATAACCG